TCTCTATTCTGTAAACCCCATCCAGACCCTCATACACCGCTAACATAGCAAATCAAAGTACTGAAGTACTGAACATCGGATGACTGCAAGTTCTTGTGGATGGTCACAAGCACTTGTCTCAGAAAAAAAATCACTTCTCTATACCTGATAGTGAGGTTAATGTACAGATATAATTTTTTTTTCTTAGACAAGTTCGTGCGTGGATGATATATAAATGACAAGGAATTCATCCTCACCGTAATAAATATGATATTGAAGTGATACAAATCAGTACACTCTGGTTTGTTGTTATATATTATATTTATATTTGTATATTACAGTTACATGTATATTCAATTTTCATCCATTTGTATATCATTCTATTCTACTATATTAATAATAGTGCAGTGCAAGTGCATGGTGAACACTCTTCTGTAATAATTCGATTTTTCTAATAGATTGGATTTGAGTTGGCATTCATATTTTCCCGCCAAACTTTCAATCTCCCATGCAGAGTTATCGGTCCTTGAGAGAGAGCGAGAACCGATAACTCTGCATGGGAGATTGCAAACGTTCTTGAGATATTCTTCCGCATGCGTTAACACATTTTCTGTACGTGTGCATAGATATTAAAGATTTTTTACTTATATATATATTTCTAACGACAAAACATTTTCATATTATTAATTTGTGTTCCAAAAAAAATATTTTTTGGAGTATCCATTGAAAAAATGAATTTATAACAGCGATAAGGAATGTTATTTTGCACTCGATAATGTCCGCGTATTTATCATGTTAATAGATCGGTTACAATCCCAACACGAAAGTTACGTAATGGAAATCTAGGCGACAGCACACACCGGAATGCCCTAACGGTCATCCGATGTAAAAATGACGGAAAAGGTTGATCAGTATAGTATCCTCCAAAGAAACTGGCAAAAAAAATCTATATAATTATACGTGATATAGACCCTCATACACCGCTAACATAGCAAAAAATGACGGAAAAGGTTGATCAGTATGGTATCCCCCAAAGAAACTGCCAAAAAACTATATATACGTGACATTTTAGAGAGCATAGTTAACAACTATATACAAGGGAAGTGAGTCAATAAATCTTATTCCACAAAGAACGATAAAAACAATATGCATAACCTTCAATAACATGCATAGTTTTTAGTATCTTTTTTTAGTTGCGTGTTACTAGAAATATCGGCCATTTTGATATTCTCCAACATTTCCAAACGAACAACAACAAAGAATGTTAATAGTTTTCTCTTAGTACCTTCTCCGGATATCAATCAACGTTGAACAATTGAAGATATCTTCACCAGTCGTACGACATGCAATTCGATTCGGGAAAAAAATGCTGGTATCAGGTGATTAGGAACCCAGTCACACAGTAAACGTCAAATTAGGGAAACATTATCAGAAAGAAGATATAATAAATGTACAGATTATTGAGTTTGTCTTTGTTAGGAATGAACACTTGTAATAATTAACATCTCCAGGGATCCATTTCAAGGCTATTATTGATTCCATTCGAATGACTATAGTGATGGGGCTGCTAATCATTCTGTGATGGGGGAGTGTAAGGTCACTTAATGATCTTTAGATGTCAGTGAATATGAAATATTGTTATCTTATACAAATATGGAAGTGTTGAAAGTGAAATTGGATTGTAGATATTTTGCCATGGTGTGTTATTTATGAATATTGCACTCTCAATATCTTTTAGCAACAAGAAATAATAATATATAACGTAATTTATTTATCTCGGATTAATTCAGAGGTACTCAAATATTGATTTTCCGTATTTTTAACACAATAAGGTGGAATGATGTGTGAAATAGTCTAAAGTATACGTATTCTTTAGCATTTGCACTCTCGGCACAGTAATTCATGGACACTTTTTGGTAACAGCTGCATAATTATACTAATCAAGTTATAATTTATACTCCACAATCTTTTAAGCTAATTCAAAATCTTAAAACATCAGCTGAAATGAAACTCGTACCTCTATATGTAACGAGTCTTATCATCCCTTAAACTTATCGAAACTTCAGAGAAACATCATGAATTCCAAGACAAGTTAATTTAATATATTAATCATTGAACATTTTGCATCTAAATTGTATTAATTTCTAAAAGCGAAGGAGAAAAGTGTCGCCACCTTATCTCAGATTTAAACGTGGAGTGCATGTAAAACACGAGAAAGATTGGAGTCCATGCATTTGGTGGTGCAAATAGTTCATTAAACGTTATGTAAATCAATAACCGCACATAGATTGCTTTGTTTATAATAAGGTTTATTTACAGAAATTGTAGTTACTACCACTGAACAGATAAATATTTGTATTTTTTTTTTATTTTTAGTTATTTGAAATTGTATATGCCGAAGGTTACATCCGTCCAAATGCTTTGTTTTCAAATGTCTTGTTCATAAACTTATGCATATGGTATTGTGCTGAAACTACGTAAATGTAATTCTCTCATATACAAAGTTGACCTTGGAACTGTTTTGGCTTGCATGCACGGAACTTGTTTGTCTTGATAGATTTCCACCAAGATTTTATGGGAACTCCTTAATATTAATGGACGCATTTTAAATTGCTATTTGATAAACTTTTTTTTTTAATTTATAACTAAATAGCCTGTCTTATTACAGGTTACTATACAAATAAAAGACAATTATATCAAAGCAGGAATCCTAAATTGCGTTGGGCGGACGGAATTGACTATTGCTCCTTTAGAAACGACCATTTTGCTACACTTAGTAAAATTACATATGTACCCCTACATAAATTTACGAAACACCAAAACTAAAATGTTTTTCTTTATCAATTTTGTCTTTCAAATGGAGTTGATTAATCTTCAACTCATATACATGTACGACATTACGGCTGTGACAATCTTTTGTTTGTTGCATTTACTTTTTCAATCTATGTTTATTGCAGTATCTACTGTAAGAAAGATTTCAATTCTATTTCTTCGATGGATACCAAGTATATTACGCACATAGATCTATCTCATGTCGTCTCATTTTCCCGACAAAATAACAGGGAGTCAATGCATTTTCCCAAAAGTATAAAAAAAATCAAGACGGTCACTGACCATTAGATATTTTACTTAATCAAATTTTGCTAGTAGGTTAAAGTGCAATTTTTCAACAATTTACTTTAGTATTACCATTCTTTTTAAAGTCGCAACTACCATCCTTGCAATTTAAAATTACTTGTGGGACACTTCCAGATAAAAAAAAGATGCAAGGAGCAGGTGTATGATCAATTTCTTCTAATTTTACTGTAATTGTGTTTCCAATATTTAGGCATAATTTATTCAAAGTCAGTGAGTGCATGAGGTCCAATTCTAAGTTTAAATTGTAGACATAGTAATATATCGTTCGGATTGCCTCCGAACTGTCGATTCGAGTACGCCTTTGAAGACATGTCTCCATTGGTTACTTACAAGAAGAATTACGCAGACTAGAAACACCGTATAGCCTTTTTACTGCAGTACATCAATAATAAATGCAATAAAATTATTATATTCAAGACTTGACATTTCATATCTGTATTACTCTCTATCTAAGGTTTTATAGGATCAATTACATAGTCGCATGTCCTTTCCCCTGAGACAAGTAATTTATATATCCCATTCTCAAATGTCGCTGACCACGAATTTATATTCTAGTCACATGCAAATCAAGCAATGCCAAAAGATAAAGTTACAGTATTAATGCATTCAATTATCAATATTACTTCCCAGATATTATTAAGAAGAGCGTATTGTATTAAGGGTTAATAATAAAATGACAATATTAAATTATCATGGATGGGTAGTAATTCTTGTTTTATTCCATTGATGAGGGTTAATGAAGGAATCTCTATTCCATGGGTTCGTTCGGTTTGGTGAATATCAAAAGCAATGGAATTTTATGATGCTTGACAGCGATGTTATTTTTGTTATAAATGCTGCTGGCATGTTTGAGGATAAACTTGAAATATTAAATATAGTTTGGAAGCGACTCAGTGCAGTACTAAATAAGGATTTAGATATTGAATGTACTAGTAGTTTGGAAGCAAACGCATTACAACGCGAAACATTAAATGTAGTTTGAAAGTAAATGTAGTATACTAGACAACAACTTAAACATTAAATATAGTTTAGAAACAAAGACAGAGTTAGGCATAAAATTAAACATAACATAGAATTTGGAGGAAGAACTTATGCAGTACTAGACAAAACTTGAACATTAAATGTAGTTTGGAAGGAACTACAGTATTGTACAAAACTTAAACATGAAATGGTGTTTGGAGGCAACTTCAGTACTAGACAAAACCGAATCCTTAAATATCATAGTTTGGAAACAAATACAGAACTCGGCGATTAAATAAACATTAACTATAGTTTGAAAGTAAAATTTATGCAGTACCAGACAAAAACTTTAACATAAAATGTTGTTTGGAAACAACTGCAACATTTGATATATCTTAAACATTAGATGTAGTTTAGAAACAACTGCAACACTAGACAAATCTTAAACATGAGATGTAGTTTTGAAACAACTTCAACACAAGACAAATCTTTAACATTAGATGTAGTTTTGAAACAACTGCAACACAAGACAAATCTTAAACATTAGATGTAGTTTTGAAACAACTGAAACACTAGACAAATCTTAAACATTAGATGTAGTTTGGAAACAACTGCAACACTAGACAAATCTTAAACATGAGAAACTGATGTAGTTTTGAAATAACTGCAACACTAGACAAATCTTAAACACGAGATGTAGTTTTGAAACAACTAGATACTGGAAAGCTCTTATTAGTATTGACTTTCACATGTATTTTAGAAATTGTAATTGTTTTATTAATTTATTTAATTGTATCGATCGATCGATCGAGAATATTCGTCATGTGACCGATGAGGGAGGGATGGAGAATATAAAAAACAATAATATTCATGAATTGAATCACTAATTTACTCAGTCAATTTAATGATTATCATATTTTCAGGAGGTCTGTTTGGTGAGGAAGAAGACGAGAGGATACATAACGCTTTTAAACACGCAGTATATTGGATAAACCACGACCAAGAGTTCTTTCGAGACAACCAACTTGTGTTTGACACAAGAATATTACAAACTAAGGACCTGTTTAAATCTACTAAAGAAGGTAGGCCTAAATTGTAAATAGGAGCTAAATTAAATGTTCTTTCAAGAAAAAAATACTAAAATTTTTTTGTAAAATTTATTATTGAATATTGAAAATGTATTTGAAAACAAAAATATACAATCTAACAACATTCACAAAGGCAAATAAATCCTATTTACACTTATAGACCAGTTTATTTTCCTATGGAATTTTAACCAAATGTAAACCAAGGATCTCAGATAAAGATATACCATATATTCCATGAAATCGACAATTTTGGTTGATTGAGAACTAAACTTTACGACATAGAAGGCGGCTTCAATTTCCCATTTTACATTTAGCAAAATTTCATTAATATATGCATATGGATTATATATCTCCAAGTCGATACGATATCACAGAGCGTGTGGTACCTATACTTTCCAGAGAAAGTACAATGGAACTTGGAGGAAACACTGAATTTAACTTTTGTTTTCGTTGTCCCCATAGTATGTCCTGTCTCTTTAATATTTCTTTTATTAACAATGGATTTCCACAAGTCATGAGCAACACGCTTTCCCTTTGAATGCACCCGACTTCGCCCCTGTTTTGGTGGGGTTCGTGTTGCTTAATATTTGATTCTCTAAGTAATTTCGTAGCACATTGCAGGCTAACCAAATTAAAGCATTTCTCATATCGCTTGTTCATATCATACTCTGTTCAGTGTGAAACGAGGAATTATCTCTCCACGAGGGAAATAGATAACAGACCACAACTATCAGAGAACACATCTTTACATCATTTGGTATCTGGTGGGTAGTTGTCTCATTGGCAATAAAAAATCATTCCATTTCTCAATATTTTAAAATGTATTCCGAAAGAAATCAAGGTCTGATGTAGCTTCTTTTTCTTAGAAGGGAAGTTTGATTTGCGATTCTGTACTGACAATAGACATAAGCGGAAGTAATAAATAAATAAAAAAAACATGAGTCTTGTCGCAGTGACTGACATTTATTACGCGACGCTCAACATTTTTTATTACAAAAACTAAAACCATCGACCCTGAAATAGCAGTTTGGACAAAAACTAAATAAAAGGATAATATACGCTGGATTAAACAATATTAAAAAAACAGACTGCGAATATAATGTATCTTAAACAGATTAACTTTACAAATTCAACACAAAACCCTGAATTGCCTCCCTTATTTTTATGATCATTTACCAACAGTTGGTGTTAATTTACGGACTTTCCTTTTATTCATATTTATTCCGTATTTTCATTTTCTATCATTAAAAATGTAAATTCATTACTAATCTTTTCGTTTGTTACGTAATATCTTATCTCCAAGTCGGTGACATTTCTAATCGGGAACTTACAGGAAATATGACAACGGTCTGTTGTGACGATGGTCACCCATAACTAATGTAATTGTCCAACAATATGTATTCCGGACAATTTTATGCTGAAATCCTGGCTGCTTTGAACACGTTTGAACATACTTCGTAAATTTCACGACGCCATCACGAGTTGGTTGACTGTTATGAATATCTGTTTCACAGATGACGACGGATATGTTCCAATTGTCGTAACTAAAATCTCGTCCCGGCCTTTCCCCCGAATGTGACCTACCGAATTTGACATATCACCGGGTTTTTACTTACATGAGCAACTAGACGGGTGCCACTTGTGGAGCAGGATCCTTACCCTTCCTGACCACCTGAGATCTCCCCCAGTTTTTGGTGGGGTTCGTGTTGCTCAGTCTTTTGTTTTTTATGTTTTTTTTTGTACTGTTGATTGTCTGTTTGTCTTTTTCTTTTTTAGCCATGGCGTTGTCAGCTTATTTTCGACTTATGAGTTTGAATGTTCCTTTGGTACATGTATCATTCGCCTCTCTTTTAGATGAAACCAAACACATACACAAGCAAGCCATCGACATTGGGTTTACGTGTATCTAATATAATGTACATAGAACGTGTTATAATTTTGCCAAAATTCATTAGATAAGAGAACGATACATTTGGTAAACACTTTACCGCAAAATATCACTTTGTCTAATTTGATTGTTAAGCATGGTAATACTCATTGGGAGTAATATGCGTTGTCCATTTTATGTCATCCTTTTAGACAAAACGTGAAGTTGTTGAACTATTCAGAATTAAACCATCAATCTACCTCGTTTACGTCCGCTCCTGTTTACAACATTTTTTTTCGAAAGATGCTATTGACTCCAACGTTGCCAAAGTACACTATGTACTTTAATATGCAATGGTCTTATTTGGTTTTAGGCATTATTATATCATTTCTATCCAATTATTAATTATTGTTGAAAAATGTAAAATAACAAAAATACCGAGCGCCAAAGAAAATTCAAAACGGAAAGTCCCTTATCAAATTAATGGCAAAATCAAAAGCTCAAACACATCAAACGAATGGAAAACAACTGTCATATTCCTGACTTGGTACAGGCATTTCCTTATGTGGATGGTGGTGTAAACCTTTTTTTTATAGTTAGCCAAACCTCTCACTTGTATGACAGTTGCATAAAATTCCACTAGAATTAATGTGTAAACAAAACAAATAGACACAATAGGTAGAAATATCAAAAATCGGAGTACAGAAGTCAACATTGTTATAATCTCAATCACTATAAAAACAAACAACTATGTCAACAAAGAAAGACATAACGGTATATAGACAAAGCACATAAGCAAAAATGAAAGACATGAATACAAAAAATGACTATAACACAATGGCGGGATGTACAAGTACCGAGCCACGCCAAACGGATATTACCATCAACATATACCCTCCTACGAAACTTACCAAAGAGGAAATCCTTGATAAACATAGGTCTGTTCTATGTTCCTTTGGAAATTCAACCAAAGTTGAAGAACTGGATCTTCCATCACTTTATTGGATAACTTAACTACATAAGTGTCCTTGCAAACAACGGTATATTGATGGGTCTTCCAAGTGCTCCATGAAACCTCTTTCTAAATTAATAACATCAATTTTATCAGCAATCATAGCTGGGCTTCAAAGTTATTGTGAAACTACCTATTCTAGAGGTGGTGTGAATCAGATGTGGATATGAAAAAATTCCAAAGATCTTTTAGAGTACATACAATCTAAAACTCTTTCATCTTGCAATAGTATTAAAACATTTGACATTTCTAAACTTCACACAAGTATTCCCCATTCCAAACTAAAAGACAAATTGAAAGAGTTGGTCCTGCGTTGTTTCATAAAAAAGGATGGCCAACGTAGATACAAGTATCTTGTCTTAGGGACGGATATCTCCTACTTTGTAAAAAAACACTCTGATTCAAACAAAATTTTTTCTGAAACTGACATTATCAAGATGCTTGCTTTCTTGATTGACAACATATTTATTACGTTTGAAGGACGTGTTTTTCAACAAACAATCGCCATTCACATTGGGAACCAACTGTGCCCCTCCTCTTGCCAACTTGTTCCTTTATTCATATGAGGCTGACTTCATACAGGAATTTTTTGGAAGACAGTAAAAAAGTTAGCAGTATCCTTTAACTTTATTTTCCGCTATATAGATGATGTTCTCTCACTAAATAATTCAAAATGTAGTGACTATGTTGAACGCATCTATCCCATCGAACTTGAGATAAAGGATACAACAGATACAGTTAAGGATGCCTCATATCTCGACTTACATCTAGAAATTGACAATGAGGGTCGGTTGAAAACAAAACTTTACGACAAAAGAGAAGATTTCAGCTTCCCAATTGTGAACTTTCCATTTCTATATAGCAACATTCCAGCAGCGCCTGCATACGGAGTATATATCTCCCAGTTGATACGATATTCCAGGGCTTGTATTTCCTATCATGATTTCCTTGATAGAGGGCTGCTGCTCACAAGGAAGCTATTAAACCAAAAGTTCTAAGTGGTGAAGTTGTAATCATCCCTTCGTAAATTTTACGGACGCCATCACGAGTGGTTGACCGTTATGAACTATCCGTTTGACAGATGATAGCGGATATGTTCCAAATGTCAGAACTACAATCCCGTCCCCTTTTCCCCGAATGTGACCTACCGATTTAGACTATTACCGTGTTTGTACTAACATGAGCAACACAACGGGTGCCACGTGTGGAGCAGGATCTGCTTACCCTTCCGGAGCACCTGGGATCAACCCCAGTTTTCGCTGGGGTTCGTGTTGCTCAGTATTTAGTTTTCTATGGTTTTTTGTGTACTATTGTTTGTCTGTTGGTCTTTTTTTCTTTTTTAGCTATGGCGTTGTCAGTTTACTTTCGATTTATGAGTTTGAATGTCCCTTTGTTATCTTTCGCCTCTGTTTTACCAAAAATGGAATAAACAGTAAAGGTCAACATTATACAAAGACAAATAAAAAGAACACCGAAGGCATATATTGACATCAAGAAAGCTGTTTTTGCATCTTTCTAAAAATGATATGGATATTAGGCTTGAAATATTCCACAAGAGACATAACAGCATTACAATAGTCCAGCTGTTATTTAGCGAAAAGGCAATTAACATGAACTATATTTGAAGCAGTTTTATAGTTCAGAATTGGGTAACTGGGTTACAAATTTTGGAAACATGTATTTCATTTAGATTGGACAAGTTATATACTTACTTGGAATTGATATCAGAATTGATAAAACATTTTTCTCGACTTTTCTTTTGTTTCGAACCAGAGCACAAGAAAAGTGAGGATTAGTAATTGCAACCCTGTAGGTTAATCGCCATCATAATTACATAATAATGATAATGTTTGCCATGTAATTTCTATATAACTGTTTTCCTCCACCCAGTTCATAAATATTTTATCAGTATAACACAAAAAAGATGTCTATGGTATGCTTTTAAAACACATTAAGCAGAAAACTTGTCGTTGCTTCACCCACTATGCAGTACTATTTTCATACATGTTTCGTCTGATTTAAGCGCCTCATCCATTTATACTACAAAGAAATATGCACATAAATGAGCAATTAACATGAAATTGTTTTATATACGTCAAAATGTTTTATTTTTACGCCCACATTAATAGGTGTTTTAAGATATTAATTTTCATTATACCAATTAACAAAATATAAACAAGAGTATTGAAAGACATTTCTAACTAATTTCCTAGAGTAAGGTGCACATTACTTCTCATGACATAATGACGGGTAAGTATGTACATATAGTTTATAAAAAACAAGGATATGTGGTATGATTGCCAATGAGACAACTATCCACCATAGTTCAAATGAAGTGGATTTAAGCAATTATAGGCAACCGTACGTCCTTAAACAATGAGAAAAACCCATACCGTATAGTCGGCTATAAAAGGCCCCGACATGAAAAATATGATCCAAATCAACTGAGAAAACTAACGGCCTAATTTATAACAAAATGATTTACGAAAAACAAATATGACAGACATGAACCAACGACAACCAATGAACTACAGGCTCCTGACTTGCGACATGCACATCAATAATGAGTCGGAGTATAACATGTCTGTGAGCGCTATGCCTAGTTTTTTTTATTGATTTGATTACCCTTCACCATTTAAAGCTTTCATGTTTTACCTCCTTTTTTTTTAAACCGAATCGTTCTTACGGTGACCTATAGTTGCTAACTTCTATGTTTTTGGTCTCTGCTGGAGAGTTGTCTCATTTACAATTATACATGTACCACATCTTCTCATTTTCATATTATCTCTCACCCAACCGCAACGACAAACCAAAACAACAACAATGCCCAGAACGCCAGCATACAAAAAATATTAATAACTAAAATCGATGATTTCCTCTTACAAGTTCCTTTAACGATTTTTTTTATCAATAACAGATGAATTCGACTATAACTCTACTAGTTTCCATACGTAAGCAACTTCAAAAAAAGTAGATTGAAAATAATTGAGTTACCGGGCTTACCACTACCAGATTAGATTAGCTTAAAACTATCGAAGTGCAGTCCAGTAAACAAGTACCTACATTTATGCTATTTTACGAAGTCATATGGTTTATTCTTGTCAGACATATTACAGATTTCAGTATTTTTTTTCAGTTTGTTTCCAGATGAATTTATCACCGGCAGCTATATTTGGACCAAGATCAGCAGAAATGTCTTCATACGCCAATTCCATGTGTAGATACTTACACATTCCCCATTTAGAATACCGAGAGGAACCGACTTACCGCCGTACAGCAAGTTTTTCTATCAATCTTCATCCCAGTCCGGTGGAATTGGCTAAAGCATATCTGGATGTTATTAACTATTATAATATGGACCATTTACTGATACTGTACGCATCTAGCAGTGGTAAGATTTTAATTGAAGTAGTGATTCTATTTTCAATATCACATGTTCAAGTTTCCTCATAGTTCGGATTTGAGCGTTTTTCCTATTTTATTGGCTTTTATTATCAAAATGAAAGTAGATTTTACCACTATAACTACTTAGAAACAATATTGACAATCGACAACTAAAAACATACGAGTCAATCGTTGATTATTATTAACGATTTGTTTTAGAAAAATAAAATAAATAAATGATTGTTATATAAGAGAATATAATATCACATTTTGTGTAAACATGATCACAAATGAAAGTTAGTTCTTTCCAAGATATCTCAATTTAGGGTCAGACTTTCATACCCTACAGCATCTTTAATTCTGTAAAGTTTAAAAAGTAAACTTTCTTATAATATGTAAGCTATTGGTCCAAGTACACAGTTATTTCGTAGTGCATTTCTTTTAGACAATAAATGAAAATTAAACAAATCCCACCTGCGCTTTCTCAATAATATTTTTACAGTGTGTTGTACTACTTTTGGGACAAATTATATCAAAATTATAGAAAACTTCATCGGCTCTAACTCAAAATATGGACAATTTTATGTTAAGGGGGGTCTTGAATTCTTTTGACAGCTTCCGAAGTGCTTATTTTTAACCTTTTTCAGCTGGACCAAATCACTACTTTACTTTAAAATTCATAACCCAAATTTTTTTACAGTGTTATTTCATCCCCCTTCTTCCTATTTGAGGCATAAAACATGGAGAAATAAATTTGAAAGGGGTATAAAAAAAATTGGCAAGTAATAATACACTGTCCACACTAAGGACTATATGGACAACGAAAAGACGATAACTGTGTACTCGGACCTATTGATAATGCTATCACTGTAATGATGTCCTATTCATGAATTTTGTTGTATAATAATGTATTGATTCACGAATTTTATAGTCATACTATAAAAATCCTTAATTAACTAGTATAAAATATTAAGTTATCATACTGTCTATATTTGGTTTTCATCTTAACAAATATGATAAAACAACATTCTCAGATCTAAAAGAAGCGAAATTTCTATTCAACTTCCAATCGTGTCATTCTAAATGCAACTACATACATTTGTTATCTTTAAATACCAGTAAAGCATTGTGAATCAGGAAGTAAGGGTTATTGATTGTGTGTTTAACATTCCGTTATAATGCCTTAATTCTTACTTGTACCGAAAAATCACTCGGTCAATGCCAATTGTTACATAAATAATGTCAATCATTTCATCAGGCGAAAGAACCAGTGATTAGTGATTAATTTCTGTAAATTTCTTGATGGTCTATACTCGTTTGATTAGAAAATCTGTTATTTTGTATTGGATCAATAGATGTGAAGAAGATACAGTAATGTTTTCAGGAGTAAAAGTTAATTCGTTCAGAACTATTTAGTAATTCGATATTTTGATAAATACATAAATAAAAGATTAGCGAAGTTAACGGTCGTGCACTGAAAAAACCTTATGCAATCTACTATTTGAAAGTGTCTAACTGTTCCGTAGAATCGTATTTCCTGTTTCATTTAAACATTTAACAATTCGTATTTAAATCGATCGAAAAGATGGTAGGTAGTATTCTTCCAAAAATAAAACAAAAGGATTTTTTTTCTCTCCAAAATCTCAAATTAAAAAAAAATACTGGACAAGAATTTAACAAGTTGAAGTGAAATATTTGAAAGTCTAATATTACTTTCTTAACATTTCGTACTATAAAAGACAACAGTGACTGAATTATTTTCAGCAAAGAAGGTGTTGCAGATTTTCACTGAAATGGTTTAACTTAAAAGATTTATAAATCAGAACGTTGGGATAACTTTAGCAAATTTGATTAATAAGATCCCTGATTATATGCCACAGCCTACCTATCCCCCCTACAACCCCCCTCCCCCCCCCCAAAAAAAAACAAACAAAACAAACAAAAACATAAACCGTATATATGAAACTAATTTGAGTTTTCAACAATATTACATACATGCATATCGATGTCCGAATGTTATCCAAATTTCTATACTTTGATGTTGGAGTCAATTTTGATACAATATAATATAAATTTTTCAGTTTTCCTTAAAAGGAATTGCTGGACCCCCAGAGCAAAAATAAATTTATTTGTATCTTAAAGACGATGCGTAGACTTATGTACGTATGATGGAGTTTTGGTTTGGGTTAAGATATCCTTCTTATTTGTAATTATAAATACTCAGAGAAGGAGGCATCATAAGAACTTGCAAAAAAGTGAACTTATTCGAGTCTATCAAAATTATGTTAATTTTATTGATAAATGAATTGCTTTTTTGAACTAAATGTAAGAAGTTTGAAAGCCAAAGTCTAATACACAATTCGAAAATATAATCATGGATTTCTAACAGACTAACGCTTATAAAGTATGTTATTTAGTAGATTTACAATAAATTCAAGGGGCAAAACAGTGGCCTTATCATACCTTCTCCTTAGTCAATATCATTTTAAACCATAATTTGTAATAACCTTGAAGTACGCATAATAAACTGTAATACTTTTGATTAAAGCACAGATTGAATGACTCTGAATGTGCCTAGTGAACATGGTGAAATGAATTCAAAGGAACTTCTTTTTGCGGCAAAAAAATACACTAAGTGCACCTTGTCCTTGCAAATCCCCAAAAAATATCCAAAACACATTAAAAAAGATTGTCATGTTTGTAATAATTATATTCACTCATAACAGGGTTAACGAAAATGCAGGTTATTATACAAGATATTTCTAAAGAATCTGGAAAAGCGATACATTTACGACAGGTCGGTTCAAATACCAACATGAGAGAATTACTAATGGAGGCAAAGAGAAAGCAATGGACCAATATCTTAGCCGATCTAAATGCATCGCAGACATCTTTATTACTGAAAATGGTAAGTATTGCTATCTTGTCAAATAAATATTCTGTCTTTGATTTATTACAAATGTGTGATCACTTGATATGAATGTTTTCGGATTTGTGTTGTTTTTTTGTGACCTGTAAATGACCTTGAAAAAGTATGTGAGGAATATTCACACAAAATAAGCAGATATCATGTTTTAACCCGTCAAGGATTTTTATTTATTAAAAGATCGGTAAATGTGATTTGCATACGGTAGCACTTGATATGAATGTGTTCGGATTTTTGTTGTTTTTTTGTGAGCTGTAAATATCCTTGAAAAGTACAACGACTGGAATATTCCCACAAAATTAGCAGACATGTTTTAACCCTTTATTTTTTATCTATTAAAAGATCAGCAGGACGGTTTACGTATTAAAAACAAAGATAATCAATTGGTATATGATACTCACCATTGCTCTGCGTTTAGCATATTTTGATTGTGTTTTCGAATAATTAAAGGAATACGATATTTTTATTCGTTATATATTTGTTTTCGGTATGGCATTCTCTTGTACATTTCATTTCTAATTTACAAAAATGTGACAAGTCATTTGATAAAGTCATTAATCTCAGACTTGCAAGAAAGTACAAAAGAATTTATTCTATCGATCGACTAATGTAAACCTGTTCTCTCCAAATTAATTCAAGGTTCACCTAGATTCCAACATTCTTCTTGTTGGACATAGCATACTATCCCGTAATTGTTTTCTTATTACCTGTCAGCAGCTGTAATTGAAACGTATTGACCAATGACAGACAGGTAGTTATCACATGACATTGAAATCTGTGAATGACAGAAACAAATTGGCTTAGACAGAGTGTCCTAATATAGCTGTTGTCTTTTTCAACAATGAAGCTAATCCATTCATACAAAAAAATCTTTCACATTTTTTATAGAAGATTATATGGTTCAATAATAAACCATTTCGAGATAGAATGCATCATATTCGCCTTAAAGAACATATTTAATGTTTACATTACAGGAAAATGATAAATTATAAGCATTTATTTATGTAAATTACATTGCAGAGTCTAAGCGCCATCGGAAATTATACCCTTTAACAAATGATTTAAATAATGGCTCAATGATTTCAGATTTTATATGTTTGTATACTTATTGCCACTGACAAAAATCGCACGGTGCATACACATTTACCTGTCTATACAATAGTTGTACCGTGGAGTGCTTTTCAGGTATGTCCGACAACTGCTTCCTGTTTTCCAATACTTTGAATAACGAGGGGGCGGTATGCTTAGCACGACATCGCGTGCAACGTCTTGTTGTATATGAAAATAATGAGATATGGTATTACTGCAAAATAGACAGCTATCCATCAGAATCCAAATGTCGTAGATGTATAAGCAACCATATACTCTTCTATTTACAGGCTCTTCAACAAGGAATGATAAATCCATATCATCATTATGTTTTAACAACATTGGTAAGTTTTTATAACCACGGTACATTTTATGAACAATGGTACATTTGCGAGTCCAAAAGAGGGGGGGGGGGGGGGGGAGTCCAGGAGTTGGAACCCCCCTTTTTTCGATTAAAAAAAAAAGTGTGAACGTTTCATGGTGTTCCGGGGGTTTGGAACCCCCATTTTCAAAATGGCTGGATCCGCGCCTGATGGTACTTTTAATGATGAAAGCGAAAATTGAGAGAGCGACTGGCATTAAATATTTGTGTTATTTGTAAAACGTTGTGGTAAATTAGTATGTATTGTCCAATGTACAATGGCTTCTAATGAAAAAAATGTCAAATGGCAAGACCTGCTTCGAAGTGTTGTTTAGTTTGTTCAAAAGTATTGATTTTGGGGTATCTTGTATAATAAGGTGTAACTGTCATTACTCATCACTATCGTTAAGCAAACGACCATCAATCAATCGAAAGATTAAGTTATCTTCAACTATTAAACAAATTTTAACGTTCAGAATCGTTTTCGGAATGGACATGAATTGACATTTGCTATGCTATTGAAAAATTCAATAATCAAGAGTTCCGTTTGGTCATAAATGATTCATACACGAATAAAAGGAGATATGGAGTAAACGTCAATGAGACAGCAACCAAATGACAAAAAAATACCAAGAGACATCTACAGGGCAACATACAGTCTTTTACAATAGATACGGTATCTATACAAAATATATAGCTCTAAATACACCTTATCGCTATTTAGTCCATTCCGGGGAAAACAGTTACTTAGACAACTTCCTGTTGAGGTCAAGCGGAACAAAAACAAAGGTCATCATCAATGAGCTGAGGGAGGGAAAAGTTTGGAAAGCGGACGTTTAAAAATTTTGATAGTTTAAGAAGCAATTTTTTAAAGACAAATTAAAGTCATTGAAAATGCTTTGTTTGATGTGTTTACGGTACGTGGTTTAAACATGTCGCTATTAAAAGTTTTATGCACAATAAATTGTTTGAACAAGGCCCCAGATAGCTTCAACTGGTTTGAAAAGTTTTGTAGTTCTAGAACTTATCCGACTAGGAATAAATAGCGATAAGGTGTATAGTCCAATGTATAAACCTTACACAGTTTGAGAATTTGAACACAACCTGATGATTTAGAAAATTGTGTTCGAATTATTTTATTTTTGTCGTATATCTGAAATGATATAAGCTTTACATTTATGCAGTGTTCTAATATTTCTATATTTTTTCAATAAATACTTGGAAACTATAATAATTCTGCTCTGAATGTCCTTTACATTTCTTAAACTTCAGACCACACTTAAGTTTCTTTTGAGTTCAACAATGATGAACTTGGTAATGATCTTTTTATATATTTTTAGGACATAGCTACTTTGAATTTAGATGACTACAAATATAACCATGTAAATATCACAGGATTCCGATTGGTAGATCCAAAGAACAAGTTTGTCAAACTAATTACAGATGATATGTATATTTACCAGATGAACACACGCCTGCCACTGTTGAGTATGGAAAACCATAACACAATACCGGTAAATTTAAATGGATATTTATTATCAAAAAGAGGAAGTACCGTATACACAAATATAGTTACTTTCGAAGGAAGAGGTATCATAAGGCATCATTTTGAGCCATTAATTAAATCCGAAAATTTAATGATATTATGAATATATCAAATGTCTGTAAAAAACAATAAATTTTATAAGTTACTTAAAGAGTTGTTATAGTTTTTTAACCTTTGTCATGAAAGAGAAAAATAAATCAGATATTATTACAATTCTAGACTTTACATAATCCAATCTGATTCCCGAGAGTATTTTAACCCGAAGTCATAAATCATAAGATCTCTAATTATCAATAATTGAAGTTAGATAACTCTGATTCTGTAAATTTATTTAATAAAATTTCTCATTATTTATCAATTATGTACCCTCTTGTTCTAGAATGCAGTAAAAGACGCAAACATAAAGTTCATTCTATCAAAATTTTCTTTTTAGTTCATAATATCTAGTATCATAGTATTTTTGCAACTCGACTATTATTTAATTGAATATTGCAGAAAATTCTTTAACAAATTTTATGATTATCAAGAAACAAATTATTTTGTACTTTAAGATTCATCAGGATGAAACAGACTATTATCCAGTATGGCTTTGTTCTGATCTTTTATCTTACGGATTTGCACTTTATTTTCATATTTCCGCATATCCATATCACAAGCAATGTCATTAATAAATTTAAAACATTTTGATGATGATGATTGAACATGCCCTAATGACTGGTATTTAGTTGTATCCCAGTACATATGGTACTATTACTCGATTAAAAGCTTGACAAATGGTAGACATTGACGACTTGGATATTCTTTCCGCGTGGGTTACGGCCGTGAGGTCGTTGATACTAATTAGAATAAAAAAAAACTGATTGATATCATCTCATGCTATATCTATCTCCAAAGATCCAAATGAAGCTTAGACATTGTCTTACTTACATTACAAACATGTTATTGTCATTGCAGCTAAAACCCATACTAACATTTTTTTTGTATGTCACATTACATGAAATTCTTAGTAACGGAATCGGGTATTGAAAATTCACTTCGAAACTGAACATATGCTCCTTTGACACTTACAAAAGAGGACATCATGAACAATCATTTACTAGTAGGTCTATTATATATTCTTTTGAACTTTTAACCAAAGACGAAGAACTGGATCTTCCTTTAATGTATTGGATACCAAAATTACATAAGTGTTCTAATCAAAACATTGGATACCAAAATTACATAAGTGTTCTTATCAAAACATTGGATACCAAAATTACATAAGTGTTCTTATCAAAACATTGGATACCAAAATTACATAAGTGTTCTTATCAAAACATTGGATACCAAAATTACATAAGTGTTCTTATCAAAACTATATTGCCGGGTTCGTCAAGTGCTCCACGAAACCTCTTTTCAAACCATTTACATCAATTTTATCAAGAGTCAAAGCCGGGTTCCAGCGTTTCTGTGAAACTAGCTACTCTAGGTGCAGTGTGAATCTGATGTGGAAACTTAAAAAATCCACAGATCTGTTAGAGTACATACAATCTTTCTTTCCTCTTGCAATAGTTTCAAACACTGGACTTATCTACCCTTTAGACTTGTTATCCCCATACGAAACTTAAAGGCAGGTTGAAATAATAATAAAAACTTTGTTTCATTTATACAGAATAGTAAATGTACTTGTTTTAGAATATTATAAGTCATACTTGGTAAAAAAAAACCAACCCCAGTCTGAATCAAACAGCAAATTCTCTGAAACTGTTACCATCATTTATATTGACACCATATTTTTCATGTTTGAATGACATGTTTTCAATATACACTCGGCATAACTATGGGACACAACTGAACTCTTCTTTCTTGTTGACTTTTTTCTGTATTCATATGAGGCACACACTATACCGGAGTTTCTCAGGAAGAATGACAAAACATGGCACTATACTTTTACTTCACGTTCCGGTATGTAGATAATGTCCTCTCACTAAATAGTTCAGTTGGGTGACTATGTTGAACACATCTATGCCATCGAAATTGGAATAAAGGATTCCTCAGAAACAGTTAAGTCTGCCTCAGTATTTCAACTATAGCGATGATTCAGTTTCCCCTGAACTTTGCATTTCTATGTAGCAAGTAGATAAATCCCAGTTGATAAGATATTTCAGAAACTTGCGTTTCCTATCCTACGTCCTTGACAGAATTTTTGTTTTGTATTCTTGTCTTTCATTTTTGCTTCTTTACTTTGTCTATAGAGTGTCTATATACCATTTTGTGTTTCTTTGTTGAAAAAGTTATTTGTGTTTATAGTGATGAAGATAATATTACAATGTTGACTGCTGTACCCCATTTTTTGACATTGTTGAATATTATGTCTGTTTGTTTTGCTCACACATTGCCAATTTAATGGAATTCTATGCGACTGTCATACAAATGAACGGTTTAGCTAGCTATAAAACCAGGTTTGATCAATCATTTTCTACATAAGGAAGTGCCTGTACCAAGTCAGGAATATTACAGTTGTTGTCCATTCGTTTGATGTGTTTGAGCTTTTGATTTTGCATTTGATAAAGGACTTTCCGTTTCCTTGGAGTTTGGTATTTTTGTTATTCTACTTCTTATTAGAGGCCGAGATAAAACGATATTTTACTGGTTTTTTGTGTAGTTTAGGTGATCAATACATAGTGAGGACCTTCAAATATTCAGAGGAGGCCTTAAGCTGAGCTGTGGTAGTGACATGATTATTTACTACATGATTCATTATTTTTCACTATTTAAATTTAACTAGGTTTCAAAAACTTTCTGATTGTGAAACAAATGAAAATTTCAGTAATCGTTTGAAAGCCAAAGATAGATGAAACGGTGGTACATTTAGTATTAAAATTAATTTTAATGAATACCTAATAACCAGTTAAAATACTAGTTAAACGGTTAGAATTTTTCATATTTTTTAGTATGAGTCGGCACTTTTATTTGATGCAGTCCTGTTATTTGCTAAATCACTGGAAGAACAAGCTAAATATCACATTATAAGACCGGTGAATGTATCATGTGAAGGAGATGATGTATGGAGATCAGGATTAGACCTATTTAACTACCTAAATACGGTAAGTTTTCAATTTTGGGCATGACTATTGAATGAATGAATGAATGAATGACTATGTATGTGCAAAATCACACATTGCATGATATGACAATACACAATGCATGCACAATGTGACAAAAAAAATGATAGAACAGAACAACACAATAATAGTATTACTTAACAATTAAAAGAGATCTAATTGTTCATGCATTTTTCAAATAATACATGTAATAACAAAGCTTGTTTGTAAAGTACTTTTCAGCAAACGATTTAATTCATGAGTAGTGGGCAAAATATAATAAAATTGAGGCAAACACTTATTTCTGATCATTTCGTAAGCTGGACATACTAAAACAAAATGGAATCGGTTCTCCACAGATCGCACATTACAACACGGACATAAACGATGTTCTCTAGGTATATTAGAGAAACGACCAATTTCAACATTCAGTTTAAATGTACCACTTCGTCGTTTTGAAAGTAGATTAACATTGTTAAAGATGTTTGTTTTTTCTACATTGGCTAGAGGTATAGGGGGAGGGTTGAGATCTCAAAAAACATGTTAACCCCGCCGCAATTTTGCGCCTGTCCCAAGTCAGGAGCCTCTGGCCTTTGTTAGTCTTGTATCATTTTTAATTTTAGTTTCTTGTGTATATTTTGGAGTTTAGTATGACGTCCATTATCACTGAACTAGTATACATATTTGTTGAGTGGCCAGCTGAAGGACGCCTCCGGGTGCGGGAGTTACTCGCTGCATTGAAGACCCATTGGTGGCCTTCGGCTGTTGTCTGCTCTATGGTCGGGTTGTTGTCTTTTTGACACATTCCCCATTTCCATTCTCAATTTTATTAAATAATTCTCATCTCAAGACAAAACTCTCGTTCAAATATTTAATTTCTCTCTATCATATAATTTTATGGATTCTGATCTTCAATGCGTGTTTGAATAACATCAAACAGTATATTAAAACAATTTTGATTAATCCAGATACACTGTATATATACATGTAGTTCATTTCAAGACTAAATAACCAATCTCGTACATTATAGATGCCAAATTCATTTTTCCAAAAATATGTATCTTCATGCACAATATAATATACATCGTATACAATACGTGGCTTATTCATAACAATACATAACCAATATTAAAAAAACTCTTAAAACATACACAAGTAAATAATTGCAACTTACATGTTTCATTTGAACATTTTATTTTTCTGGAATATTGTTCTTTTCATATATTCGTTAACCCTTAATGTTCCCTAAAATGATCCATAACAAATGTTTATCAGATAAATAACCACGGGTGTCTCTAATCTAAACACTGTTTTCCTTAAACCAAACATATATTTTCGCCGAGAAGAAATACTGAATAAGTTTCCTTATAGAATTGTATTTGATATGGTTCCTAGCTTTGATCATATCGCACATATAATTTATTATGATATATAATGCTATAAAAGATTATCAGAAAAACGATTATCTGGAAAACAATCTATAGGTTCATAAACGGTCGAACAGAAGGGCCAAAGGGTTGCTATCTCTCAAAGATTATGGGCAAATACTACATGTACTATGTGTTGTTCCTATTTTACAGCTGGAAAATTGAAGATACTTAAAAAAAAAGCATCTAAAATTTGCGATTATCTATACCATCGACAATTATTTAATTGTAATATTGTTTTTAATGACCGAAAAGCTTATTTTACGTATAAAACAAACAGAACACGTTTAGGGGAAACATGAGCAATAAAAAAGAATAATGAGACAAGACTGTATAATAGTACTTTCTACTAAAAGCGGAATCATCAAGGAGAGACCATTGTTTTTCTGCAGTATATATGGTAAAACTTAATATTTAGTGCGGAGTTTTGCCTGGCAATCAGCCTCGATGTATTTTGCAGGTTAAAATATCAGGACTGACAGGTGACTTGTTGCTGCAACACGGAAGACGATTACTGTTTAATCTAGACATTGTACAATTGATGAAAGACGGACTCGAAAAAGTAGGTACGCTTTTTGTTTTACAGCCACTTTAGTTTTGGATTGACTAATCAAATTAAGTTAACAAAATGTTAGGTAAAATAGTTTTTATGCCCCCACAGCAGCGGAGGGGGCATTAAGTGTTACCTATGTCCGTCCGTATGTCCGTCCGTCCGTCCGTCCGTGCGTCCGTACGTCCCAGAATTGGTTTCCGTTCTTTTACTTTAGTTTGCCTTAATAAAATCTTTTGAAACTTATACACAGTGCTTATTGCCAAAAACACAGATCAGGTTTGAATTTGGGTGGCGTTTCTTTTTCCGTTCTAGAGTTATGGCCCTTTATATATGAAAAAATAGCTGAATTTTTCGTTTCCGTTTTTTAATTTTAGTTTGCCTCAACCAAATGTTATGAAACTTATACACAATGCTTATTATCACAAAGAACAGATCAAGTTCGAATTTGGGGCGTCATCTTTACTGTTCTCGAGTTATGTCCCATTATTACGTTATATGCAAGCGGGGGCATCTATGTCTCATGAACACATTCTCCATTTATTTAAATATAAAGATAATAAAATGTGGATGCAAGCAATTATAGGCAACCTCACGGCCTTCAACATTTATCCTTAACAATAAATGCTAAATACTATCCAATGAAAGAACAGGTCAGAGTAGCGAAATTCGAAAACATTTTTTATATATCATGCATAACGTGATGGTACTTCACACTTTCGCAAATTACTACCGTGTTTCAACTGGCTAATGAAATATTTAATTTAATTAATATACGTATTTACCTGTATCTCTAATATCGATACTCTTAAAGCATAGAAAATAGTCAACTTGATTTCTAGGATTGGAAACACTCTACAATCAATGATGATGAACAAGAAAAATTTAGAATATATATTTAGTTTCATTATGGTTCAAGAGTCTAGAAAACTGTCAATCACTCACATAAACAAAACTCAAGTTGCAAAGCCACAATGGGTACTTTTGAGCTTTTTACTGGAATTAAATTTATCTTCATATATTGCAGTAATACTATTTACCAAACAATGATACCGAAATGAATGGAGTATAACAATTACATTACTGTGAATATGACAGTTGCTTTCCAGTCGTTCCGTTGGTCGAAATGGTCTGGCGTTTGGTTTTGTCCTGTTTTATGGAGTTTCCTCTTATTGAATTTTTCTTGGAGTTTGATATTTTCGTAAATACATTAATTACTGCCAATTTAGACATGAATACATAACATCAGACGTGAAGTATACGTCAATGAGATAGAAATGCAACGAATCAAAAAACATTATACGGGCTTCATCAATAGACAAATAGGTTGACTTTATGTCACGTTTTAAATGGTCCTTCCTGGTTCGGGTCGAAAAAAGAATCAGACAAAGCGTGTCTATAAAAGATTATGCTTTCTTAAAAATCATCAAATTATTTGTTATCTTCTTGATATCTGTATCTACCAGGAATTTTCTCTTATTTTTATGACATGCTTTGTAAATAGAATAGGGAGATAATTAAGTTCTTGAAAAAAAACTGGTGTAAATGTACTCTATTTTACGTCTATGCAATGTCAAACAATTTAGTCCACATATTGGTTTTTATGAACTTAAAGTGATTTTCTTCTGGACAAGTTGGTTGTTTGTGGCTTATACATTTTTGTTGTATTGACCAACATGTCTAATATAATTTCCTGAAGAGCTGAGATTTTCGGGCTAAACATGACCGCATTTCTTAGATTTCTATGTTTTTCATAGTTTATTTGTTTGATATTTTGATATAATTGACAGCAGTGTTATAGCAATGCACAGATGTAGCGTGCGAAGAATTCTTCTCAAGGAAGTGCACGGGGTCGTCCTGAACAGCAAAATGTGGATGCTTGCCCCATGTAACTTAAAAATAGGTCAATAAGAGTACTGTTCCTCTGCTTTTGAATTTGACAAATAGTTGCTTTGATGTTGTTTCAGGAGTTAATACATCTTATCTTTCTTTTTCTGTCGATTGTACATTATCATAAAAGATTTATAAGTTCTATGTTTAAATGCTTTGTAAACGTCTGTTAAGTAAGTCAAATACTGTACTTTGAGCATGCTATATTGTAGATATTCTGTATTTTAGACAGGTACATGGAGTTTAGACAAAGGACTGAATATAAGTTCTGAACAAAGATATATCTTACTCGGAAACAAGACGTTAGTTGTTTCTACCAACCTTGTAAGTAAAATAAAGAATCTTTACATGTAACTTTGTTGTCGTTCCTTGTATACCGGAAGTAGGTGTAGCTATTATTGTAAAATGTAGAATAAAATGTGATTTTGAAGCATATCGTAAAGATTATTATTTTGCATTTAACATAATACCAATAAATCTATGACCAAACATTGGTTAAGAGTTGGGATTTATACTAATTACTTAAGATATATATTTATTATTCAATCTTTTATCAGATTTTAGGGTTTCAACACATTGATTATGTTTAGTTATTTATTTAGCTGTCGTATTTTATTTTATTAAGGGTAAGTTTACATAACTGATCGATATTTTGGATATTAATGAACTGTATGTACTAAAGAACTCATTGACCTGCATCTGAATATCGAAAAGTGATAAATGTAGCAAAATTATAATAAGTATAATTCCAGAGAATCTTTTTGAAGTTTGCTAAAAAGGTTTATAAATGTTTATATGTTTATGTTTATATGTATGTAAAAAGCGGTGGAAAATATGCACTTTTTAACTTTGAATTGCGTTTTCAATAAAATCTATCCACAAGATTCTGTTGCTATAACCTTTTCTGTTTTAACGATATGAAAATATAAGGGGGGTCATTGTATTCTCTTTGCTGTCTCAATAATTTAAGAATGAGTGATGTATAGAAAAACATAAAAAAGTCCAACTTTGCAGCGTGACGCCGTTATGACTTTACGTTTATTGGTCGTTTTGACCTTTTTTTTTGACGTTTCGTATCGAGACTAATTTATTTTAACTGAAAAAACGAATACGGTGACCCATTAATATTATCTTATGGCTTCAGACCACAATTAATTCCCTTTGTTCGTGGTCTAGGAATATAGTTCCCAATTATTATATGGGGTATTCTTCCCAAGTATTCTGACTACTGTTTTCTTTGAAATGTTTACTATTTAAGTGGTCCTATCAGTTGCAGATATATTGAAATAAGTAAAACATGTGGAAACAATTTATTGTTGAAAGTGAAAGTAGTGATTTAGCCAAAATGAAAGAAGGGTAGAAATTAGCCTTCGTCATTTATTCAAGATTCAAATCCTACCATTGGCATGTTAATATGGCTCTCAAAAGAAAAAGCACTGATGGATTGTCCTGGGACAAGCATATTTTATTCAAATAATAATGGTCTATAAGCAGTTAAATTTATTTCATGTTTGATGCGGTGCAAATTTTTTAATTCAATTTGAATTTTACCAAAAAATGCATTGCAACCAATGGGAAGAATAATTGTGGTCTGAGGCCTTATCATTAAAACGGAAATGTTTACAGCAATAACGCATCATTTTAATAAAAATCCTGTGAACGAATTTACGAATCCTTAATTGCAATGCTATTTAACTTCGTACTTTATTTGGCTAATCTTTTTTATTCGAGCCTAACAGACGAGTCTTGTAAACGAAACGCTTGTCTAGCGTACAAAATTTTATTCCTGGTATCTATGACGAGTTTATTTACGAGAGAATGCGATGTAAAGTGAAAAACGATATTTTTTGCCACTTTTTACATACATTTTATTCATTTGCTAGACCTATTTAAAAAAAAGAAAATCTATTGACTGTCTCTGAAATTTAAAAGTTACATATATTTTTCCCGATATTAAGATGCAGTTCAACGGGTTCTAAATCGTACATCAAATATATCGCCCAAATGTCGTATACTTTGCCTAAATAAAAGCAAAATTAGCAACTTAAAACCAAATTGTTAAACAATGTCATTCATGAAAATTGTTCTCAAATTCATAAATTTCTATTCTAACCAACCACAAAAAACTTTGTTTCACAGACAGATGACTTCCCATCACTTAAATCGTAATCAATTACACATCGTAGCATGCAAACATATACAAAAGAGAAAGAAATAAAAGTATAAGATTAACCAATAACAGAGAAGTTGATACGTAATTGGACTCAATTTTTAATTTTTGATTTCAGAAAAAGCCTTTAATCGTGAGCACTGCCCTAGTAAGTCGTGTGTAGCGTAGAGACTGCTTTATGTACAAATAATAACAAATTAGTGTTGCTGTTTTATGTAGATTAATAACAAATAACTTGAACTAATAACATGTATCTGCTCTTGACTAAAAGTATATGTAACGTAAGAGTTATCATGACAACCAAAAATAATTAAATAAAAACAATAACGGTAGACTTACGTCAAATTTTCTTCGGGTGGTTGCAATTTCAGTTTATAAAAAAAAGTAAGAAAAAAGAAGATCGTGTTAAATGTTATTTATTGTTAATTTCTGAGATGAGAAATAATTCTATGCTTTAGTTGCTGATACACGGATTTCATTTTTTTTTATTCATTTGATTACTGTAGTGTTACATTTATAATCTTCTGTAGTGTAAAATTTGTAATCTACTTTAGTGTAACATATGTAATCTACTAAGTGTAACATTTGTAATCTATTTTAGTGTAACAATTGTAATCTACTGACGTGTAACATTTGTAATCTACTGGTATTATTACATTTGTAATCAACTATAGTGTCCCATTTGTAATCTTCTTTAGTGGTACCTTGTAATCTACTGATGTGTAACATTTGCAATTGCTGTAGTGTAACAATTGTAATCAATGTTTTGCACATTTCATTGGGGGTCTCATCGGGCGGGGGGTCTCATCCCGGATCCCGCTGATTGTTTTTGTCAGAATCCCGTATCCCGCTTATCACTGTAATAATAGCGCATGTTATTTCACGTGTCCCGCCCGACTTTGTTTCCCGTTTTCACGCAAAAATAATTTGACTTTCACGTGTCACCCTACAAAAAATCGGCCAATCCCGGATCACGCTTACACCCCAATGAGACCCACTTCATTTTGTTCATGGAAATGCATTTGTAAATATTATCTGTATTAAAATTGGGCATGCCCGATGCTGTCCAATTAAATGATTATAGCTGTAATTATTTTTTTGACCAGATATATTTTTCTATTTCTCCATTCAGTTTAATTAAGTTTTAGTATTGTAATGCTTATCATACAATTGAATCGTTCAACATCAAAACCATGATGTACAAATCTTCAATTATCGATTGTCCATTACAACACACTGACTAGTAAGAGTTGACAAATAAATGATATAGTCTGTTCCTGGTCAAGATCAATTACGCTTTAAACGTATATAGGACAGCTTGCTATCTATTGGATAAATTCTTTTCAGACAATTTAAAAATTTGAACAATTATGTTGCATATCTTCCATATAACTAAAATATATTCTTTTGCGTTTATTTTTTTTTATAATTTAGACTTGAAGTTTCCACTATCAATAATTAATATAAACGATTTAATGTCTTGTGTTTTTTTTGCAAACATACACCATCTAACTCATTTGCATATTTTACAAAATTGGATACTAACATTTAAAAACTTGTTCGTTAATATCTTTTTAAAAAGCAGAAATTGTATATGGTGATGTGACAATATTTATAGATAATTCGATTTTTATAATAACAACATATGTCATAAAAATCAATAAATAATTATTATTCAGTTTAATTGTACTTAAAAGGTATAGATAATTTAAGGTAAATATAGAGTACTTTACATCTCTTCTATAAAAGCATGCAAAGCAAACCTTTGATCAACTTGCTTGCTATGTTTACTTCGATGTTTGCAAACAATAGGTAGGCGGAGTTTCAGTCTGTTTGTATATACTGGAATATGATTAGACAATAAAAATTGACATGCAATGAAGTTAATGTTTATTGTCCAATCAAATTCCAGTATATAATAAACAGACTGAAACAGACTACCTACCTTTTGTTTACAAACATCCAAATAAACATAGCAAGCAAGTTGATCAAAGGTTTGCTTTGCATGCTTTTATAGAAGAGCTTTAATAATGTAAAATATAACAACATTTATGTATTATTTTCATTTTGTTTACTTTCTTTTGTTACCTATTCTGACATCGGACTCGAACTTCTCTTATACTGAGTTTTACTGTACGTACTGTTGTGCGTTTGTTTTTTCTTCATTGGCTAGAGGTATAGGGGGAGGGTTGAGATCTCAAAAAACATGTTTAACCCCGCCGCATTTAGCGCCTGTCCCAAGTCAGGAGCCTCTGGCCTTTGTTAGTCTTGTATCATTTTTAATTTAAGTTTCCTGTGTATAATTTGGAGTTTAGTATGACGTTCATTATCACTGAACTAGTATACATATTTGTTTAGGGGCCAGCTGAAGGACGCCTTCGGGCGCGGGAGTTTCTCGCTGCATTGAAGACCCATTGGTGGACTTCGGCTGTTGTCTGCTCTATGGTCGGGTTGTTGTCTCTTTGACACATTCCCCATTTCCATTCTCAATTTTATAATGCACTTTCTGGGAGACAAAGATACTGGAAACCAACTAATTTTCACTAGCGCTGCTTTCGCGAGTAGAAATATTCCACGGATATAAATCAACACGAATATTTTAAATATACATAATCTTTTATATGAATACATCAACAAATTAGACATCCCTAAAATGCACCACAGCGTAGTCCTAACGAAAGGGCTACACGACGCGAAAAAATGACCTGCGAAAATAATAACAGTAACTATTTAATTGAGCGTATGCTTAACGTATATATAAGACTGAAAGAAACAAAACAACAAATAAATTTTGGAGAAGACGTTACTAAGTTGAGAAGCTTTTGTCGGATCCATTTGTCCTTTTGAACAATAAAATGTGTTTAAACTAACAAATAAATAAATCATAAAATCAAATCATATAATCTCGCCAGGGCTCTCGGTCATAAAACTTTACTCAGTACTCGGAGTACAAAATTTGTGCTGGAAACACCAAATCCATGATTTTGATTTATTGATTTCTGAGTCTGAGTACGAAAATCGTGCTCGAAAGTTTTATGACCGCAAGGCCAGGCATAGAAACTCGAGCTAGCTATAGAATAAGCTAAATATGACTTATAACTTTATAAACGTACTATGATAAAGTATAAGCTGAATGAAGTTGAATAACACGTTAAGTCTAAATATGTCATCTCTTTGAATCTCTTTTAACAGAGCACTAGTTTTTGCTTAGCAGTAAAAACAAAGTGACATATGTTTTTTTAATTCAATTTAGACTTTAGATTCTCTTTTAATATAAAATATATACATTTTTGTCATGCGGTTAATTGAGTTTTATAATTAATTTATACTGCGTGGTTACCTTTCAAATTTTTTTTGTCGGATAGGGTTATGGGGATGGGTTACTGTCTCATTTACAATTGTCCCTTATTTCTTTTAACCACCAACATACAAACAAAACAGAACACACAAAACATACACGTTATACAAAAAATAAACGAGGAAGAGACCAGGAGAGGGTAATCAAATCGTCAGTTGTAGAAGCACAGACAACACCACAGGCAAAGGAAAAAAGACGGAAATACGTTTTGGAAACACTACACAAAAAACTAATGATTGAGAAACACAAATCAAATCAAAATCTTGGGTTGAAGTCAGGGGCTCCGGAAGGAAGACATGTTCTTGTTTCACTTGAGATGATGTGTACATGTGTATGTCTCTCTGTATTAAAGGAATTCAAAAATGATAATGATAGTAAAACATGATTGAAAGGAGATAGCATTATATGCCAATGGTACAGTTGCCCTATAATACAAAAGAAATGACAAGGGCAACGTATGGTCTTCAACAATAAATTATTGTTAGATAGATAAAAGCGCATTCACAAAAATTAATACATATTGAATAATGCTTGTTTGAATTGTTTCATATCATTATTATATTGATGTTTTGGGAGGCGACTTTCCTGGTATGGAACTTGCGCCCTTTCATATTTTTCATGTCGGGTAAGGTATGGGGTTTTCTCATTGTTGAAGGCCGTACGGTTGCCTATAATTCCTTACATCCACTTCATTTGAACTTTGGTGGATAGTTGTCTCATTGGCAATCATACCACATCTACTTATTTTTATATCATAGTACTTAACTTGCTGACATCACTCATGTTGTACAACATTAAAATCTTGGTGGCCTTACTTCAGAGCATTCTCAATGTTTTTCTCTTCAGTTTTGAATTTAGCGTATTTAATACAAAAATGTTATCCGCAGATGAAAAACACAAAACAAAACGTTTGAATTCCGAAACGGCAAACAAGCTTTCAAAAATACAATACAATCGTTGCAACTAATAAAAACAAATACAATATATATAAATGGGCCGCTTAAGGATGACAAGTTTTTTTAACCATGAAAAATGTTATAACGTTTATTTATCGACTAATATACCAAGTTGACCGGCTCAAAATGTCTTGTTTGTTGTAGGAAGCACCTTATGTGATGATAAAAGAAACAGCTGAAAGTAAACAGCTGAAAGGAAATGACAGGTATGAAGGATTCTGTGTTGATCTGTTGAAATCAATTGCAAAATATGTTGGATTTGATTATGAAATAAGAGTTGTTCCCGACGAATTATATGGTGCTTACAATTCAAAAACAGAAGAATGGAACGGTATAATTAAAGAATTAATAGAAAAGGTATGTTTAGTTTTAAATTGGACATGTAAAATGTAGGAGGTCAAGGTACAAACAAATATTTATTGGAGGGGAAAAAATTAATTTTAATACAAACTATGGACGATTCAAAAATCTTATCGTAAATTGGTCTATATTTGCACTACTGACCTTTGAAGAGGCATGCAGTAAAAAATCTTCCGTCATTCGCGTCTCACGACAACGGACAATGCATTTAAATATACAGTCAAGCTTTTTCGTAGGGTAAATGCTTTTCCGTATGTAGCACCCTTAACTTCCATTAACAAAAGGGACCGCGTGAAAAACATAACAAAAACTATATTCGATCTATCAGTACCTTTTTTCACGTGCTCAATGATTCTATGTTGATTTTTATCAGTAGGTTCAATTCGACACCAAAATCCGAAAGATAATTAGCAGGTAAAGTTTTCGTTCAACAATCACAGAATGAAATATTTTTGTCTAAAATACGTTATGGATTCGTAATAAATGTAAACAAAATATGCACAGATGACTTAGTTTAATTTGTTTGCATTGATTGTCCTTACAAGAAATGATCATATGGCTTTAAGTTTGATATTGATAAAAGAGGTATGAAATATTCCTCAATTAGATAGCAATCAAACAACATAAATAACCTAAGACATCTCAGTGACAGGTCAGACTATGGTCTCCCTAATAAATCAAGCTCTAATAGGGCCATGGTAAAAAAAGTGAATAATTGTTTACTTTTATTTCAGAGAGCAGATATGTCCATGGCTGCATTGACTATAAATTACGAACGTGAACAATATATCGATTTTTCCAAACCATTCCTCAATCTCGGAATCAGTATATTGTTTAGAATGCCAAAGAAAGAGAAACCCGGATTATTCTCTTTTCTAAATCCTCTCGCAATGGAAATATGGATTTATTTAATAGCAGCGTATATGACTGTTAGTTTTAGTATATTCGTGCTGGCACGATTTAGTCCCTATGAATGGTATAACCCACACCCATGCATTCCAGAAACAGACTCTGTGGAGAATACGTTCAACTTATCAAACAGTTTTTGGTTCGCCATTGGAACATTAATGCAGCAAGGATCGGATGTAAATCCGAGAGCCGTGTCTACCAGAATAGTCGGCTCAACTTGGTGGTTCTTTACTCTTATAATTATATCATCCTATACTGCTAATTTAGCAGCATTTCTAACTATAGAAAGACTAGTGTCGCCTATAGAAAGTGCAGAAGATTTAGCAAAACAAACTGAAATAGAATATGGAACACGCGAAAGTGGAACAACCATGTCCTTTTTTAAGGTAATACATATTAACACAATCCCTTAAGGTTAGACAACATACTGATATACTATTTCATTATATCCATTTATTTCTCTGATTGGATTATATTGTGAGTAGCAGACCTAGGCCAGATAGCATTAGCAGTGCAATTACCGCTAACCATACCTTTGTACCAAATTCGTACTGCTCAACTTTTGTTTTCTATTTGTTATTTTGTTGTTTAATTTTACTTTATTTGTCTTTTTTCATTATTTTGTCGTTCAATTTTTCGAATTTAGATTTTGATTGCCACTTCCATTGGTTGTTCTTTCCCTCTTTATAAGCACTAGTATAAAAAAAGTAAAATAACAAAAATGCCGAACTCCAAGGAAAATTCAAATCGGAAAGTCCCTTATCAAATGGCAAAATCAAAAGTTCAAACACATCAAACGAATGGAAAACAAATATCATATTCCTGACTTGGGTACTAAAACACCAAGTTAACGGTGTGATTAGAGTAAATATAAAAAATTCAAATAACGCAGAATTCAATCAAAACTTTATACAAAAAGAAAATATTCTGTCATGTATAAACAAAAAGTAAAAGGTTGAAATGAAATGAATTCCGTTTTCCCGAATATATTTGCTGCTGATGATAACACAGGTTAAAACAAAATGGAATTGTATTAAATGCATTGGTCTACGTAAATATAAGGCATCTATTAATACAGGAGGAAGCTCCAGTGATCTGGAAGGGTCTTGGTGAATATCTTTCAGGATGACACAAGCCAAGTGAAAAAATAGAAGTCCATAAGAACTGACAAAATCAAACGCTAGACTCTATCGACAAATGGAAAACAATTGTTCTATTCCTGACTTGGTACAGACACTTTCCGAAGAAACTAGTTGGTTAAACCAGGTTTTTTTACCTAGCTAAATCACACACTTTTATGACAGATGTTTATAGTTCCGTTATATTGACAATATTGGATGAGCAACCCAAACAGACATAACAGGTTAATGTGACAATAATTGGGATCCAGCATCCAGAACAGGGTATACATACATCACAGACATACAACACATCTGACTAAAAAATTAAAACAAAAAAAGTAAATTTGACAAAACCGCCAATAAAACTTGATATTTGTACATTCTATAAATATAAGATTATAAGATTGATTATTAATTGATTTACGTTTGATAGCAAGTATTACATGCATAATCAGGACAAAGGGGAAAAAGATACAAATAAGGCAATCAAAAGTTGAAGAAAAATGGAGAACACAATGGTCAAAACGCAAAACGACGAAAATACGAACAATTGTCCACAAAACGGTAAAAGGGATACTGTACCGTTCAAAATCCCGCCAAAAACACCAGATGCTTCGAATGGTCAGCCATTCTTGCTGCACTATTTGAAATCGCCATAATTCACATCCAATACATGTATAAGTAATAAATGTTCATGATGTCAAAGTAGCCACTGTGTTATATTTACTTTGAATAAACGAGGGAAATAATTATAAAGACAGTGTGAACGTGTAAAAAACTTGTTAAAGACATCCATATGATCTTTTTACATTACTTTATAAAATATATTTTTATTTAGAATTCACAATTTGAAATTTATCAACGAATGTGGAATTATATGAAAGGCCATGAGAAAACAGTGATGATGAAATCTGGAACCGATGGTATTGAACGTGTTAAAAAGGGTGGATATGCATTCTTTATGGAGTCTACAGGAATTGACTATATCACAAAACAAGACTGTAGATTAATGCAAGTGGGAGGTCTACTCGATTCCAAAGGTTTTGGGATGGCCACCCCTATGGGTATGTATATATATTCCAAAAGTATTGCTTTATTCATTTTAATTACGAGAAGTTTTGAAAAATACGGCTTATACAATTTATGCTTTGGGGTAGAAAACGTTTGTGTTTCGAATAATTCATAATTTAATAAACATTAAATTTACAGAAAATGAATATATCACTGATAATTCATGTCATCACAAAAGTGCCGACTGCTGGGCGGGTTTTATCCCCCGGGACGAAACGTCTAGTAGCAGTGGCATCGATCCAGTGGTTGTAAAACTATTTAGATGTACCAGGCTTATAAATTGGTACGTCAGACACGCTTTTCGTCTACATATGATTCTTCAGTGGCGTTCGAATCAAAACTGTTGGAAGGCCAAATAAATAATTTGTAAACTATTTTTTTAATGGAATTGCAAGTTGTTTTTGTACTTTTTTAAATCACAATGCTGGTGTATATATTTTCAGCTCCAGTTCAAGAACATAAAAAGTTCCTGTTTTCCCTAATAAATTGGTTTAAATTTTAGGTTCACCGCTCAGAGACAAGCTGTCAATGGCCATTTTACACTTCCAAGAAGAGGGTTTAATACAATCACTATACGAAAAATGGTGGAAAGGGTCGGAAAATTGCGATGCCGACAGTGGTCCTGCAGCTGGCAAAGCTAGTCCGTTAGGAGTGTATAATGTCGGCGGTATTTTTGTTGTTCTGATGGGTGGCCTTGTATTATCTGTGATTGTAGGAGTTTGTGAATTTGTTGTCAAATCAAGAAAGAATGCTAGAGAAGACAGGGTAATGATTATTTATCATACACCACTAGTAAATGAATTTTAGTCTTAAACGGTCATTTTGATTTAAACATCACTCGAAAATGGCTGGTCAATAAATTATTCGGTCATGTTTCAATCTTTTATTTTTTTTTATCCCCTGTGGTAAATTCAGAACGGTTCAGACAATTCGCTTGCTGTCAATTAAGATATGTTCAGTCTATGATCAGACAGTAGTTGTTATTCACCGGTATACGTCATCATTATACTGAATTGTCTGAAAAGCTACTGAACAGTCAGTCTTTTAAGGGCTGTTTATAAGCGATGACTGTTTCAGGTTACTATTATTAGTTTTCGTACGTCTCCCATGGAACGTTTTTGCTTTTTCTTAGATGTCTGTCGGAGATGAATTAATACTAGACAAATCACAAGATATTGTTTTTCAAAAGCTTGGATGACAGTATCATTATATCATACAATATTGAATATGACATTTAAGAAAGAAATACTATTAAATAGATAATCGTTTAATTTCTTCGCAAAATTTGTTATTTCCATTGATTATGATGGGCTTTTAGATAACATATCTTTTTGAGAATGCGAGGATATCATATTTTTATTTCTCACTACTTTCAAAATTAAAAGCTCTCGATATAAAATAAAAAGATATGTCACGAATGCTAATGAGACAACTATCCACAAGGAACCAAATGACGTAGATGTTAACAACTGCAATCGTACGTCCTTCAACAACGAGCAAAACCAGTACCGTGTATTAAGGTATAAACGTCACTGACATGATAAAGTTCAAAACAATTTAAATGAGGACACCAACTGCCTTATTTATGATTAAGCTTCGTTGGCACCTTCAAATTTCAATTTGGTTATATTGTAAGAAAGGATTATACTGGTGCAAATCATTGTAGTTATCTATAATAACTTTGAAACAGGAACCAGCATTCTCTTTCCGAATACCAAATTAAAAATAAAAAACCCCAACAAATCGGAGTTTTTCACTCACATTTGCCTTTATTTAAGTTGTTATTTCCTGTATCATTATTGTTTAGGGAATTATATATGGGATGACAATAACAACAGCATTCTGAAAATGCACTAAGAACAACAAGATGTCGCTCTCGTTTTTATTGTGATGCTGCTTCTCTGTTTGCTGTCTTAAAGACTCTCAATAATTGCTACCGCTTTTAACCTTTTCCTTACCGTATATTCATCAATTTTTGTGATGTTTTCATTATTACGAAAATGGCGACGGGATAGGTTTCCCCCCCAAAAAAAACCCCAAGAAACTAAAAAATCCAGTTCGCATTTTAAAGTGTCATAGTATTATTTGTATCCAATATTTTATGAAAGCATGATAATTTATCCAGCTTTTTTGTCCAATGATAAATAAATGCTCGCAAAAATTTTGAATTTACAGTCTTTAAAAAAATGGGGTTATAAGATACCGTTAGGCAATACAAAAAAAATAAACATTAATCAAAGAATTACAGACTACACTATGGCATAAAAAAGAATTTTTTTACGAGGCCCACCAAATAACAGATCTGATCAAGCCCGTCATAATGCAACTGTTGCCCGGACCATTTGTCATTTATCCAGTATAATTTTAGTTTAGTTTAGTTTTGAAATGTGTAATTATAGATTATTGTTGGTTATCTCAACGAGATTGATTTTCTCGCTTGAACCGGTACGGCGAAATTGAGAAAAGCAATCAAGTTGAGATGACCAATGATAATCTGTTTATCGTTTATCGCTGTTTTACCTATGACGACGTTGTTAATTTCATTGACAACGGGCACGTGGGCCTTTAGTTTCTAGCGATAATTTTTCATATCACTCGACTCCACTGAGAAAGAAAATTATCAGTCAGCAAGATCAAAGGAAAATTTCGTAAAATAGCGAAAATGGTAATTTACATGCAAGTTTGATTTTGCTTTATGTTTCGAATGACCTAATCATCTAGTAATCCACACCTTTTCAAATTGATAGCAGGTGAAAGCATTCTTATGGTCACGAAACATCTAGTTTAGTTTTATATTAAGAATAAATTGAAACGTTGGGTAAACCCGAATTGTTGAATCACCAAAAATAGCAGTTGTATTTCCCATTTCCTTACTTCGTGATTTTATAATGTCTGACCAGTTTCAGCTTTTCTTCTCTAAAATAAATGATACAATAAGAACCACAGGACAAATTTAAAACCATTCTCTTATTTTTCAGTTGAAGTTTTTATCTGTCTGTGAATAGCATACATAATTGAATAAAAAACAAGATTTATTATATAACAATCATTTGTCGTAAACATATTTGTAAAAAACGTCTAGTCTTAATAAATATAAATTTTAGCCGCTTGATATACAATAACCTTTTTTAACATTTATTGATATGTTTACGGGTTTTACATTGCGCGCGCCTTCAGTGATAAATGATGACCAAGGAACAGAAATAAATCATTCTCTAAATATGTAAAGAAGGCATTAAGCAGTGTAGTAGTGTCTGGGTATCTTTCACCTCTCTTTTGCATGTAAACGTTGAAGCTCTCAAAGTAGAAGGTATAGAATTGGGATAGTTTGGTCCAGTAAACACGAGGAAATAAAACAAACTGTATGATACATGTACCATTTAAATCACCGTTAGTAACCGTTCAAAAAGAGGCTTTCGAAAAATTTAGATATACGCCGCAACTTGGTCAGGTGATTTGCCTGTGACGTTATTCAAATGACATATTATTTGTGGTTTTACTGAGGCAGATTTGGGGTTTGCTCACAAGTAAAACTGGTTTTATCCCACCACATTTTGTGTCTGTACCAAGTAGTGCCACCTAACAATGTGGTCGTCGTTGTTGTATTATTTTAAGGCAGATGATTCTTTGCTCATCTTTTAAATCAGATAATTAGATTCAATAATGATAATTGTGTTTAGAATAATTCCATGGTCGATGTCATAAATTGATATATATATATATATATATTTATATACTAGTATAGAAGTCTATAAAAAGGACCAACCAGCAAATTTACTATGTACCGGATCGTCTAGAATAGACGATACTGTGCAGATAAGGAAAAAAATTATATTAGTATAGAGATTTGCACAACGATACTAATATAAGATGGTATTATACGAAGATGTTGTTAATAAATCGTGTTGACAAATATTTCGGCTTAACAAATAGCCTTCTTCGGTGTCAATTATTTTAACAATACTGATAATATGTATAAAAATAGCTCAATAATACAGGTAAGTTTTGGTCTATTGATTTAATCCAAAATCCTGAACATCATAATATAAAACAAAACTCAATACTCAAATATACGTGACTGTGTATATTTACAACCCAAAATGAGTGAAAAATAAAACTTAGTATTTTTTATTGATGCCGTTTGGATGATGTACATTTAGTTCCTTTATCCAAAAGCTTTCCCGAACCTGTCGCTGGGCATCACTCAAGTGAATGTTCTGTTCAATCACTAGGATCTTCATGCGGTTAAAGTCATCAAGTGTGTGACCAGACTGTCTGAAATGCTGAGAAACTGGGAGAAGTGGCTTCTTAGAGATATCACTCCTATGGCCATTGAGGCGTTTGTGGAAAGGCTACTTTGACTCACCAACATATTGGAGGCCACAAACCGAACATTCTAGAATGTAAATAACATTCATACTTTTGCAGTTAACATTGCAAAATATCTTATAGTTATTTTCGGTTGCCTTACTGTGAAAAGTTGATGAGTGATGCATCTGTAGGCAGCATTTGCAGCGTTTTTCATCACACGAACGACATTCTCCAGAATTACTTCTATTATCAGACACTTCAGCCCGCACAAGCAGGTTACGCAGACTATTGGGTTGCCTAAAAGCTATCATGGGAGGCTGGGGAAAAATCTTGGATAGTTTGGAATTCTTTTCAACTGTTTTCCAATGCTCACGAATGACACCGAAGCTGTTTTTGAGAGATGGGTGGTAAGTAAGAACACATGGAGTCCTTTTATTTTTATTTTTATATTTGTATTCTAACAGTTTACTCCTTGGAATAGTTTCCGCTTTCTGAAAGCCTTTTTGGATAGTTTTGTGTTTGTAGCCCCTTCTCTTCAAGCGGGTTTCGAGTTGACGTAGTTGTTTTTTAGTTGTTTCTGAGTTGGAACATATTCGCTTGACTCTGAGTGCCTGACTGTACGGGATGCTCTTAGTACAATGAGCAGGATGGCAACTTTCAGGGGACAGATATTGGTGAGTGTCAGTAGGCTTAGAATATAGATCAGTGGATATGATGCCATCTGTGAGCGAGCTGGAGGTATCGAGGAAGGTGATTTTGGATTTAGATTTCTCATGAGTAAATTTGATACTTGGATGTATGTTGTTGGCATGAGTGATGAATGTATCTAAATCCTCGTCACTTTTATTCCATTTCATATCCACATCATCTATAAATCTAAACCAGGAAAGCGGTTTTTCGATGGAAGATTCAAGGAGTTGTTTTTCTAATTTGCCCATAAATATGTTGGCATATGATGGAGCCATTTTGGTGCCCATAGCAGTTCCATTAACTTGCAGATAATGGTCTCCATCAAAAGTGAAGTTGTTGTTTTTGAGTACCAGCGTGAGCATTTTGACCAGGCATTCAGTAGGTGGATATTTCACTGGTCGGGAATTCCAAACTTCTTTACATGCATCAATGCCATCTGCATGTGGAATATTCGTGTAGAGGGAGGTGACGTCCATAGAGACAAGTGTCGTGTCGGAGGGGAGTGGATTTAAGGCCTGCAATTTTCTAAGATAATCGGTAGTATCTTTGATGTGAGATGGTAAGTCCTCAACATGTTGACGAAGATGGAAGTCAACGAATTCCGATATTTTTTCCGTCGGATGACCGTTCGCTGAAACTATAGGTCTTCCTGGGTTATTGGCCTTATGAATTTTAGGTAAAAGATAAAATCTGCCCGGTTTTGGATTTTCTGGTTTCAAATTATTCTAGAGTCTTTTCATCGATGAAACCATCGTTGTGCATTTCTAACCAAACTATCAGTTATTTCTCTGCTAAAAGATGTTGTAGTATCAGAGTCTAGTTTTTGGTAGAACCTTGCATCGCCAAGTTGTCGTTCAGCCTCTTGAATATAGGCAGATTTATCCATGACAACCACTGCACTACCTTTGTCTGCAGGTTTAAGGACGATATTGTCGTTAGATCGTAAGTTTTTCAGTGCAGTTCGTTCTTCATTGGTAAGATTGTCAAAAGGTTTATTGTTATTTCTAGTATTTCTAATAATGTCCGACTTAAAATTGTCAATAAATGATTCCAAGGTGGCATTTTTGCTCGGTTTAGGGTTCCTAGTGATTGAACAGAACATTCACTGGAGTGATGCCCAGCGACAGGTTCGGGAAAGCTTTTGGATAAAGGAACTAAATGTACATCATCCAAACGGCATCAATAAAAAATACTAAGTTTTATTTTTCACTCATTTTGGGTTGTAAATATACACAGTCACGTATATTTGAGTATTGAGTTTTGTTTTATATTATGATGTTCAGGATTTTGGATTAAATCAATAGACCAAAACTTACCTGTATTATTGAGCTATTTTTATACATATTATCAGTATTGTTAAAATAATTGACACCGAAGAAGGCTATTTGTTAAGCCGAAATATTTGTCAACACGATTTATTAACAACATCTTCGTATAATACCATCTTATATTAGTATCGTTGTGCAAATCTCTAGACTTATATATATATATATATATATATATACATATAGTTTTAGGAACTGTGAGAGCGAAGGCAAACATTAAAAGTCCGAATATTTCAACTACTAAATTTCAATCGGACATTTAATTTTCTGTGTGACTCGGGACTGATTAAGAGGGAAAAAAAATCGCTAAAGGTCCATGCAGTTAACAGCAAAAATGTTTCAGACTATTAAGACGGATTACTTGACTTTTTCATGACATAAATGCCAATATTCAGTAACGTCTTGTATATCTTAACATCAAAAAGTTTGATTAAAGTTTGGTCAGACATTTAAAAAAAGTGACATACAATTAGTTATTGACATTTCCAAGAAACTTTTTTCCTAGCGCTAGAAAAATTGACATAAAGTACACATTTTTTCTGATTGTGGTCAAATTCTGACGTCTTATTTGTCAGCTAGGGAATTGATTTATATTATGTCTCTTTAAGATTAGTTGTAGAAAAACATATTTGTTAGATGGTTATGTAGTAATGTTTTAATTGATAAGAAGAACATATCAATATGTACTAGTATATAAAAATATGTAATATTTTTGTTGCTTTTGCATTGCGGTACACCCTGCATCTTTCTTTATATTCGTTTTTATATATAATACACCGACCTAAAATTAGATTTAAGGCAATAAGCTTAACAAGTTTCATAGAATGGGACGTTGAATCAGTTTGAACTGAAATAGACCAAATTAAGCCTTTGAACTGCTGGTACCAATTGAAAATGTCTGTCCGAAGGGTTGAGACTAAATTTTTCATCGATACCATATAAAAAATAATACTTTTATCATATTTTCAAAAATATATGAGGTAAAATAAAATCAGACCTTTCAAGAATGAACTTAATAAGATATATACTAAATCGTTTTTGTCCTTATATCAATTCATACAAGTCCCAAGGAATTTAAAAGATTCAGAATATACATATCATTTAATAAAGGTAAATTTGATCTAAAGATTTGGCCAATATTCGTCCTTTCCATTTTAAATGCTTTTCATCTTTGATAAATGATCTCAGTTTTTTTATCGGAACTAATCAAACATTTTGTTTTTCTTTATTTTAGGAATCTGTTTGTTCAGAAATGGCGAAAGAGCTTAGATTTGCAGTACGATGTCATGGTTCATCAAAGAAAATCAACAAATCTTTGTGCAACAAATGTAATGACAGACATGCGCGCTCAATTCCATGTGCACTAGACGAATCAATTGACACTCTTCCAAATGGTGTGATTCGATTACACGATATGAGAAAATCACCATATCATTCTCGAAAAGAATTGAATAACCGGTATAAAGACAGTGGTTACTTACATGTAGATTATAGTGACACAGATACAATGTAAACTTGCATGTTTTTACATTAAGTTCGTATAGGTGAAGTACGGTCATTTACATGTAATATAAACTGTTTATTTTTTTGAATTATAGTAAAGTTATATTTATCGAGCGCATGTCAATATTTCATTTATTTCATAATTTATACAAATTCACTTCTACGTTTTCTGTGTGAATATTCCATAAACGTACGTGGCGTTTTTAAGTAGACAGAGGTTTTGATTTCTTTTCAGCTGGCCTGAGATACAACCAAAAAGATTGTTGTGTTTTTCAATACCTTTATAATGCGTTCGATTTATTGTTCGTAAATTAGCCTTTAATGTATGTATATATCGCTTCACAATTCCCGATTGTGTTTTTCGGAAGTCCTCTAATTGTAAGTTAACGTAGTGTGGACAACACATTTAAAATCTGGCACAATATGAATAAAAGAAAAAATATCGAAGGAAAAATATCATTAGTCGACTAAAATACTTAAGTTATATTATCTAAGTGCCTTTTACTATGTTTTCCATACAATTGCGGGTATGTGTATTGTCCGCTTGCTCGTAGTTTGTACAACGACATGTATTTTATCAAATTGTGATTTTTAATGATTATCAATGTTGTCAGATTTAATCACAGAAATGTTGTGTGGTTAAATATTCACCAATACGTCGGACGTATTTATCGCCAGTGTACCTAACTTTCTAATGAAAGAATCAGTTCTTCAAGCGGTCATCTTTTAATTTCATATTTGTCTTCAGGAAGAATTTTTTCCTTTCCGTGCAAAACGTTAAATGTTCAGTAGAACGTCCATTCCACAAAACATGTATAAGAAAGATAATCCATAAATGTCATATCATATTATATAAGAGGGTCTGGATGTGGTTTACAGAATAGAGAATAATGGGCAAACAGTGCAGTATACAGGATAAAAAATATAGAAAAGAGAAAAATAGGCCAATAAAATAAAGAATAGAGAAAAACAGGCAAAATTTATATAGAATAGGGAAAAATGGCTTAAAGTATACAGAATTGAAGGACCCCACATCCAGACCCTCATATAAACCATTGTCTCATACATAAAACAGAATACTAACATCTAGTATTTAAAATTTAAGCAATTGATATTTTTCATATTTATACAATACATGAATCAATGAATGTCTGTTTTAGGTTAAATAATTGGCACTTTATTTAATTTCTTTGTTTTTTATATGATAGAATTGTTATTATTTTGACTTACTTGTGTACATTATGTTCAAATAACGAGTTATGCACTTATAAGCTGTTGTTTTGTTCGATAAGCAAAATCGAGAGAGCATGCATACATAATTGTAAGATATCCATTAACTCTCATTATTCCTCCAAAAATGATTTGATTTCTGTTTAATCTTCATCAGATTAATTGCAGCACGTTGGGTCATTATAAGCCCTTCTTATTAGAGAAATATTATTGTGTACCAAAGTCCGTTAGTCTATCAGTCTCTATATAACAATTCTTACAATAACTCGAATTTTCTGTAAACAATTCTTATGAATTTTAATCCAACATTAGGATTGATGGAAAAAGTCCTCTTTTGATTTTGAAAATTTTTAGTCGTTCGTTCATTATATATAAAATTAAAGGTAATTTTTAAAAAATCGAACACTTACTCGAGTATATGTATTTTAATTTACCTAAAAGTGTACACTTTTATTAGGATTAAAAAAAGAAAGTTCTTTTTCCGATATTTATTTTTTTTCATTTGTTGTTCCAGAGTTATTGGACTTTTAACTGTCAGATTCAATGCAATTTCTCACATATCGCACACTTACTTAAAGAGTATACTTAGATTTATTAACTCAAAACTTTAAACTGCTATTTGGATTGATCAAGGGAAACTCCCTTTTAATTTTAAAACTCTTCTGAATTGTCTTTCCATAGTAACAGGATTTTAACTGTCTCAAATTTAAGTTAATTTTCCACATTTCGTACACTAACTTGAGAATGCTAGGATAGATTTAATTGCAACTTTACACAATTGTTGGAATTGGTAAAAGTAAGGTACTTTTTGATTGTTGAGATTGGTGAATGAAGACCCACTTTGGATTTGGAAATTTTCTGGTCTGATGTTAAAGAGTTATGGGACTTTAAACAGTCATAGTTTTAGGCAATATTTATACACCTAATGATATCCTAAAGCAACGTTTTCTACAGGGCCATTTTAATAGCTTCTGATTAAATACCTCCTTTATATTTATATTTTCATTACAACAATTTCAATATGCAAAAATGGCGTATTATGCGCTCTTTGTGAAGATGTTTATTTTGTAACGTTCTATCAGTTTTCCTTTTCTTTATATTCTAACAAAACATATTTTATGTTTGGAAGTAACTTGTATTCTGTGTGTTATCAGTTAGATAATCATATGATACAAAACGCAAAAAGTTTACCTTTATTCATGTTACCTGAGGAAAAAGAAAATTTGAAAGATTTTCGTCAGTTCCTGAATTATGCACAGAAATTGAAGTGATACAGTATGATATAGCTGTTTTTGAGCTACATGTATATCAAAAAATTAAGCAGTGAATTAGTAAGATTGTTGAAATCTGTATGAATGTTAATTCGAAACTTTGTTTAAAATGCTGACTATCTGAAATATTACAATAAATGTTATTTTATATACACTAATTTGTATGGCCAAATAATTACCAATATAAAGCAATATTTATTTCTTCTTCACCGTTAAAGAAATTTATTGTTTACAAGCTTACGTTGTTCATAAATAATTGGAGATGGGGGTAAACATCATCGAGAAAGCAACTCATCGGCAAATCAACCAAAAGACATTTTTAGATCAACATACCATCTTCAACAATGAAGAAGTGTCAATTGAGTATGCCCTAAGTTATTTACTTCAAGCTTTACCCAATCATTAGTAATGATGATCTATCATTATATCTGAGGATGAAGAAAAACGTAGTTTAGTTATGTAAGAATTCGCGAATAAGGGATCAGACGCAATCAATATAAGCAATGTTTTCCACCAAATATCTGTTAAAACAAAACCGGATTACTTTAAAAATAATAAAACACCTCCCATTTCATATAACAACACCAAACCTATTATTGCCTCCAAGATTTGTAACCACAAGAGAATATAACAGGTCTCAAGGATGTAAATCTAAACCTATCAATTGCTCTTGTACATCGTTTCCATGCACAGATAGTATCGCTGGGTACGTTATTACTACTGTCCTTGACATCGTAAAAAAAAATGAACACCTTAGTAAATTGTTAGCCAAAGGTCCAAAATATCGAATTCCTCAGCCGCTCCACTTAACGAAAAACTTTAGTTTACTGATGTTATGCAGTTAAGAACTATGTCAGACGATAGGTAGAGAACGCGGAATTTAAAGAAAATGCTGGGAATCCCACATATACTCCTACATCATTCACGAAAGAGGTGATTTAAGAAAATTACAAATCCGTCTTTCTCTGTTTAAAAGGATGAAGAAGGTCTACCGTATTTATACTTGGTATCTAAACTTGAGTAAAAAACCTTATAAAAACGTTTTATAACCGGTTCGTCATGCCAATCGACAAAACATCTTTGACAAAAACCATGGGTGTTCTCAAGTGCTCCGGCAGGATAGTCAGATCCTGCTCAACATTTAGCACCCTTCGTGTTGCTCAGGATAGAAAAACCTAGTGATAAGTCTAATATGGTGTGCCATACTCTGGAAAAAGAGGACGGGATTGTGATTACGTCAGTTGGAACATATCCATCGTCAGCTGTGAAATGGATCTTCCATAACGGTCAGCCAACTTGGGATGGAGTCTGTAAAATTTTCGAGATGATTTCAATTTTACCACTTGGAACTCTTGGTTTAAAAGCTTCCATGTAAACAGAAATCTTTGATCAAGGAATCACGAAATGAAATGGAAGCTCTGGAATATCATATTAACTGGAAGATATATACTCCATATGCAGGCGCTGCTTGGGAATGGGCATTTTTTATGAAGGTATAAATCCAGAAGAGCGCTTTGGTCGCATGACATTTATAAAGTGTTGTTTTAATTTTTTCTTAATTACCTTCAGTAATATTGTAGAGAGGTATGTTCAACTAACGGAATCGATCGGATGTGGATACTTAAACAACCTATTAATGATCTGTTGCAAAATCTTGATTCATAATCTGTACAATTTTGCAGTAGTATCAAATAAAAGCAACAGTAGTATACCACTGTTCAAAAGTCATAAATCGATTGAGAGAAAACAAATCAGAGTTACAAACTAAACCCGAGGGAAACACATCAACTATAAGAGGAAAACAAAACTTTTGATTTTTCCACGCTTTATACTACTGTTCCCAATGCTCAATGTTCTATTTGTGGATCCCTACTGGCCGTTTCTGTACATATACCATATACAAAATACAAAAAAAGTCTTGCAAAGTATTTTAATTTCACTTTCTGATATATGATGATGTTCTGTCACACAATAACCCACATTTAAGTTCGGGCTTGCATTTCATTTTTCAAGTGAACACGAGATTAAGGTTACAACCGAAACTTGAAGGTCTGCTTCATTTCTTGATCGTTTCCTCATTAATGACACAGATTGACAACACCGAACTAAAATCTACGATACATGTGAGGATTTAAACTTTCTAAATTGTCAATTTCACATTTTTAAGCAATAACATACTCTCCGGTAATTTTACCGATAGTGCCCTATTCGTTATGGTGACTAAATGTCGATTTTTATAGCGGTTCATACATGCATAACAAGAAATGTTTATTCTGTAAACACACCCGGTCTCGCACCTTTTTGAGTCAATGCGATTCCTTTAGGTGTTTTTCGTTACCTTGTTAAGTCTTCTGATTCGATTTGATTATCGAACGGAAAATTTAAAGTATGGATTAGGTAAAACGGAACAGAAGTTCAAAATTAATTTGAAATACAATATAAATCTTATCTGTTTACGGATAAAAGAATAAATACATTTTGGTTCAGCTGAATTTGTTGTACCACGAAATGTTGGAAATAACCGAGGCATGGACGAAATTAACCAAACAAGTAACTTTTGACATATATATTGCGTAATATATCGTCTATCAAGATTTATCACTTAATACTGAAGACTTACTTCGCTGGAATTTTAGATAGCACCAGTATCCTATTACACAATGCTCAGTATCTTCCTAATTGTATTGTTACCTGATAGTTTAACGCTACGAAAAGTCAGGATACACGTCTAATAGCTAGTGGGACTGACGTACATTCTGTCTAAACTAGACTTATAGCTTTATAGCTTGCTGCTCGGTGTGAGCCAAGGCTCCGTGTTGAAGGCCGTACTTTGACCTATAATTGTTAACTTTTTATACATTGTGACTTGGATGGAGAGTTGTCTCATTGGCACTCATACCACATCTTTTTATTTATATTATCAGTGAATTAAAAAGAATCAAAAATCAAAAGAGGGTCTTAAACTGTATTATACAATTACGACATTCTTATTTTAAGGCAAAGTGTCTTAACTGTAGCGTCTTTTGCCAGAAACATGATTTTTTTGCCATAAAGTATGTAAACAAGTATTGTCTTGCATGGATAATACATCACCATCTAGTTTTATTTGTATGCCTTGTATGTTTTTTCGAAAAGGAAAAAGTCTTAATTCTAAAAAATATTTTATTCCTTCAGAGATATGTACATTTTGACTTCATAACAAGTGATAAAATGTTTAAATATAAATGATAGTGACAATCAAAAATAAAGATGAATTTTCTATCAACATATTAATTCCAATCCTTTATTTCTCTTCTAATTCAGTATCAAAGTTTGAGTTTTTGAAATCAACTTTCTAAGGTGTTGATTTGTGCATACATTTACATAACTTGACGTCCAATAGAATATGACAAGGTTCAAAATTTAAATTTTGGTAAACGATAAGTTTATATGTACAATACCACTGAACAATTTTAATGAAATACTTACATTATTTTAATTTTATCAAAAACATTATAATATTTTTATTTTACATTTGTGTATTCCATTTTATCATTATGCGTCATACATATTTTGTATGCACTATACCACTTCACAATTTTAAAGGAATACTAAAATTGTTTTAAAAATAATCATTAACATTCTAAATCTTTTATTTTACATTTGTGTATTCCACTTTATCATTATACATCAGATAAAAGTGCAAATTCAACATTTTAAACCTTTAAATCAGTTACATTTTGGGCAGACATACCTCTATTTTATGATCAGATCGTACAATCCTAAACAACAGTTATTTTGACAATATTTTATGATATTTTCATTTTGGTGTACCGACATTTAAATGTGCAATGGCACTGTTGAATCGACTTCGGTACTAATATGATCCACCTTATCTTAGAAGAACTCAAAATACACTTCAATGAATATATGACACAGGTATCCCACAGCAGTTTCAGGTAAGTATGATAAATGTGCTTTTCACTTAAATGGAAGACAAAATTACATGACATAATGACGTTAACATGATTATCATTTTTCAGCATAACTTCAATTCCTCCATACATTTCTTTATACATTGTTTTGTCTATTATTCTTTACAATACCTTTGAAACAAGACCATTATGCAAATATTTAGTTGCAGAAAGGTCAAATTTCATTAAGTCTTTTAAAGTCCTTTAAACTGCATTACAGATTTTCTTTTGTTCTACTGTCAAAGTTCTTATTCTTCTCAATCATACAATTATATCGACCTATAGATGAAATTACGTTGTACAATTCTGAGAATACCTGGTCAGGGGCAGATCCAGCCATTTTTTAAAGGGGTGTTCCAAACCAGGATAAAAGGGGGAGTTCCAACCATATGTCCCCATTCAAAAGCATTGATCATAAAAAAAAGGGGGGCTCCAACCCCCGGAACCGCCCTCTCGCCCCCTGGATCCGCCACTGCTGGTATCTTTCATTTGAAAACATTTAAAAAATGTACATATAAACTCTTCATATGTACATATATTTGAACAAAGTTTGTATCTGTACTTGCTCTTTTTAATACTGTTATAATAATACTGCACAATTATTTTCATCATATGGTATATATGACAAAATAAAATAAAAACACATCGATATGCATCTCAACAGATGTTTATGAATAGCTTCTTTTTCTCTTAGGAAAAATGGTTACTATGACTCTTAGCTTTTTTAGTTATAATGAATAGGTTTCCTGAAGTTTTATCATCCGTATACACAGAAACATTGCAGTTTATTCAACAATTTTTTGAAAATATGAATCTGGTAATGCGAATGCCCTTTACTTGCAGTGAATTGCATCTATTCCAGTATCGGTTCTTTTCATTAGAGGCATGTTTTGTAGCCCAAAACATTTCGCACAATGAGCATCATGGCAAATGTCACACAGTAAGTAACATTATTTCAATTAAGATGACCAGTTTTAACAAAAAATACAACAACAACAAAAAATGCAAATATATACAAAGAAAATGTACCATACTTAATATGAATCACGTGATGTTAATGACATATGTTTGTTCTCCACCAACATTTGTATCTACAAACGGCATACCCAGATATGAACATATTTATTATGAACGTTTTTTATGGACGGATGATATTGCTTTGGACATGTTATATTTAATGTCTTTTGTTTACTTCACATGTATCATATTTTTGGTAAAGGTAAAATGAATAAAATGGGAAGGTATATTTAAATTATGTTTAGGTATTGTCTTAGTATATCATACTTTTAGAAAAGGTAAAATCCATAATATGGATAGGCATATTTGAAGTAAGTTGCGGTTCTATCTAAGAATGAATCGTGTATAGTTTTTTAATCTTTTTAAATACCTAAAATTATATTCAAATGAAATAGATTCATATGTTTGAATCAAATAAAATACATTAATGAAGTAGAACAAAATATGCATTATTCAAAGCACTATAATAGTGAATATGAAACTTTCATATAAGGAATTATGCTGTAAATAACGGTGCAAAAATCTTAGAATGTTGTCTGAATAGCTATGTCTTATTAGTTTTGTTGTCGCAGAAATCCTGTATTTAACCTTTAAAGTTCCCAAATATAAAGACTTATTTAAAAAAATACATGACCTCATAAAGTTGGAATACATAATGAAATCGTAAATTTGGTGCGTTTGAACAGTTTATGTACAATCATGTTTATAAATCCTTTTCATATAAATTACATTTCAAAATATCATATTAACATAATGCTTTCTTTTCTTATCGAATCTTGACCGCTTTTTTATTTTGAATATTTAACAAAAGAGCAATTTTTGTAAGAATTATTGAGCAAAGCAAATTCAAGATTCATCCCATCAAATCGTATGACCAAACATTTAGAAACATGAATATATATACAAATGGCACATAACCTTTGTTGATTTCACTTTATTCAATGCGAAATCCACAATATGGTAAATATTCACAAAAAACACAGAATATTGCATATCTTAATATAAAGACTTAAGATCACTATTAATAGAACACATGTGAAAGTTTAATTATTGCAAGAGACATGATTGCAAAAGTAAACCAATTTTGAACTGAAACGGTCAATTTGATCTGAACAGATCCACTGCGGTATATTCAGTACTAATCAGACAATTCGCTTGCAGCCAATTAAGATCTGTTACAAAACAACTAAATACTGAATTGTTTGAAACAGTACTGAACAATACTGGATTGACTGTAAGGAAAATGTCTAAACAGTACTTAGTTTAAAAAAAGAAAATGCTTGAAAATAACTTAAACTATTGACAAGACTTTAAATGTTAGTTGAAGACTTTTCAGATGATGTTAAGATAAAAATGACAGTTTAAGATTAAACTTCATCTACTAGGATTAATTTGGTAGTTTGAATACAATATGTTATTGTCCATATCGTTTAAAACATACACCAATACTAAAAAGGTTCTTTGAACTATTAATAAAGTATGCATGTGAAGTAAAAAATGAGAGGGTTTAATTTGATGCAAAATAAAAAAAAATGTTTAAATAATGAAAATAAAGTACCAGTGCATGTACTTAAATTTCAGTTCGAAGTTTCAGAATCTAATTCATTGTGGGTAATATTTTCAAACGCGTACACCAACACGTTGTTATTGGTAAAAACGTTATAAAATCTATAAATTCTACCAATTGCGTAACGACGTTGTTTTTTTTAGTGTACGAAAAATTAAATTTCCAACAATCCTTTAGATAGTGAATTGGCTAAATAATATTTGATATATTTTTGTCATCTCTATAAATTTATATTTGATTATTACCAGTCTTTTGACAAAACTCTTTAAAGCGAAATATGTCTTATATTGAAACATGCAGTGTATTCGTTAAGCAAAAATTATTTACATATCACAAAGGCACTTTTTTCAAAACTAAATGTTTACTACATTGAATATTATTATCGTTTGGAAGGATAATGCGAAACGCATTAGTTCTTTTATCCTGCAATCGACCTCTCTACTATACTAATACAGGTGTACAGATAACACGAAGCGATATACGTATACTAGACGGATACAGTCTCCTGGTATCCTGCTTCTGTTGCGATTGAACGGTTATGTCAAATTTATGTTTACGTTACAGGTCAATTTGGGGTCCTCATCGCAGTCCGCTTTTAAGTCATGTCGATTTCTTTTAAAAACAAATTCAACGATTGGGATGGAAAAAAATGTACAAAATTCATTACAGGATAAAGACAATAACTGTATAATGTCTTTAAATATCAGCTGTATTTGTACTCGACTCGAAACAGGAGTAAGAGCTCGCTGAAGCTCGCATTATACCTGTTTCTTAGCCTCGTACAAATACAGTTGATATTTAAAGACACTATACAGTTATTGTCTATATAACAACAGTTAGACATTATTCATCATAGAATTGATCTACATCGAGACTAAATTACAAAAAATATTTTTACATAGATAGATTTGAAAGGCTTCCTAGACATTACAAAACAGGATACCCTGCTGAATCTATTCATCGTCTTGTTCGGTTTTACTAAATTTATTAAGTTATTATTATGTTTTATCCATAAAAAATCACTCAACAGTTTAATGGACAGAAGTGCCGATTTAAATACTTTGAAACCACAAAGATAAGTACAAGATAAAATCAGGTTAAAATCTAAAAATCAACACACATAATTAAACTTGTTTCCTTTAAAGCACAAAACAAGTTAAATTACTGATTGTCAACCATCTAAACTGCTTTTAATTATCCAACATCATCTTATGAAAATGTTTCTCCTGATTTGTTCATGAGATTTAGTACAATCATCTGTAAGTCATCGTTTCAGAATCTACAAGATTGTTATTTCATTGTCCTTACACAACAATAAAACTAATGTCACACCATTGGTTAGATAGCCATTGTTGAGGACATTGTTAATAAATGGTGGACACTTGTCTCCAGAATGCAATAGATTCTGAAAAGTTCATCTATGCATAATATTCTTTTGAACCACCATAGTTATTACTAAGCATTGGAGCTGTCTGAATAATTCCATTATCTGTTATTTCTAAACTGCTTTTTCGCTTTGATGGTTTTGTAGATCCAAAACAAGTCAACGCAAACCGGAACTCTTCAGACATCTCAGAACACAATGTTTGCTGAAAAGTACACATATTTTAGATTAAGAAATGGAATAGATTTGTTTTATTTTCTATGTTTACTTTCCTGCTCTATGCAATGTATAACTGACTATAAATTGACAGAAACTATATGAAATTCTTATTCAATATTATAGAAACAAAAGTCATGAACGTTGTTATATGAAATACCCGGAATTCATCTATCTTTTCTTTATCTTTTGTTTAGGTAAATTATATTTGTTTCTTTTGTCTTATAACGATGTGTTACTGAAGTACCAATTTAACAGATTTATGTATAATACCGAATCATTTATTAATACAATACCTCATTTGCATATACATGTAGAGTGTAAAAATCTAGATAATATTCGTCTCAAACTGTGCAGGTAAATTTGTCAACTGTTTTGTGTCACAAACAAGCCTTATTTTTTATATACACGAAATAGCAAGAAAGCTTGAAATACTAATAGAGTAATTTATAACATGCATGCTTCTCGCATCTGAATTGCTGATATCCTTCTGAATGTTGCCTTTGTGTTTTATGTGGTATTCTTTATTTGTTGTGAAGTGAGTTAAATGATTTTGTTTTCATTTTCTGCAGTCCTTCTCCCACCCTTACAATAAAAAAACTTAACAAAGATACCAGGATTATAATTGTGTATGCCAGACATGCATTTCGTCCACAAAAGATTCATCAGTGACGCATGATTCAAAATAGTTCAAAGGCAGAATAAATAACAAATTAGAAGAGCATGGTGGAGAACCTAAAATTCCAAAGCCATCGTGCTTTTTTGTTAAATATTCGTTTGTTTTGAGATTGTGACACAGTGATGACTGCTGTACCCATACTGTGACTATTTCACCTATTATGTCTGTTTTGTTCATGCATCGTTTTAAACATAACGGAATTTGATGCAACTGTCATACAAGTGATAGGTTTAGCGCTATAAAACCAGGTTCAATTCACCATTTTCTACATTTGAAAATGCCTGTACCAAGTCAGGAATATGACAGTTGTTGTCCATTCGTTTGATGTGTTTTATCATTTGATTTTGCCATTTGATTAGGGACTTTCCGTTTTGAATTTTCCTCGGAGTTCAGTATTTTTGTGATTTTACTTTTTACTTGATTTGTGTTGTATTATAATATCAATCACTATAATGCATGTTACAAACTAACTTCACAAGTTGAGTTGTTGTGAGCTTAACCAACATACGTATTTACCTTATCTTCTTTTGCATTTTTTCTGGCTTTCCATACAAATTCACACATTGATATGAAAAATCCACCGATTACACCACCAGCTAAGACAACAAATACACCACCAACATTTTTAATTGACAATGCTTTAGTTGTACTCTTTTTTGCTTCTGTACAAACTCCACCTTGAACACGCTCTTTTTGCCACCACTTGATCTTAAGTTCAGCTATCTTCTGCTGTTCTTGAAAATTTAAAATTTCATCAGAAATAGCATCTCGATACGGCGAACCTAAGACATAAATAAAAGTTATTTACTGTGGATATGTAAATAAAGTAAAAAGCGAAGAAAGAATTAACATTATTCAATGGAAAAGTTATTGAATTCAAACTCAAAGGTGAGAAAGAATAACTAAGGTACAGGAAGTAATCATTTATAACACAGGTCATACTCCTCGTCAGGAAACTTTTACAAACTCACAATACAGTTAGTACATCGTCTATATTTAAATTCCATATGGCAAGACTCTCAAGTAATTTCACAAGGAATGAAAAGTTTTATGGTCTCTTATGTCTTGATCATTGCCACTCTATGAATAAATTTTGAACAAAAAATGTATAGTGATTTCTGAAAATATATACAAATTATTAAATCAATAATTATTGTTAATTTCCTCTCATTTGCAACTGGTCTTATACCTTAAGGAGAACACCGCCTTGATCGTTCATGATGAGGGTATATCAAGAAAACTGTTTGAACGTAGCAAAATTGATCAATTTGATATTCCATCTAGTTGTTGAATGCCATTTCTGGTTTATCTGCGATGTCATCATAATCATACTATTCAATGATTTTTCAGTAAAAAAAAGATTTTAACATGTAAATAAATCCAACATTTTTACTCCTCTGACGTCATACAACAATATCGGTTTTAAGATGTTGTCAAACAAATTACATTAATTACATACCACTACAGGGAGATAACTCTTTAAAATCAGCTGAACGTTTTAATCACATTCTATTGTTAAGGAAATATTAAGCTTCTCAATAATCAAAATTAGTGTTTGTCAAACTGCTATATATCCAATTAAATTTTTCCGATAAAGTGTGTGTTTCAAGTTTTTTGAAATCTTGAAATTTTTGTCAAAGGGTCAAAGTAAATGTTTTGTCAAAATTTTATGAAAATTAAACGAGCCAAATTAATTTTAGTCAAGGTGTTTGGTACCACATTAACTTATTAATATTTCTTTCGAGTCCAATTATGATTGAAATATTCAAAGGATTAACAATATTGGCTAGCTTTATATAAATTGCATCCGATGTTGGATGGATTGAGGTAGTAGTATTTAATAATTTTAGTTTTTGTAGCATATCATATGGTGTTTGTAGGAAGCTATTACTTTTTTGTTTTTTGTATTCTTATAGTGACAAGTCAACAACCATCGAAGAAATATGTTGGTGACATGAATTACCATTCCGATGCGGGATGATATCAAATCACTCCACTTAAAAAAATGCTTTCTTAATTGTTGTATACTTTCGCACTTTGTATAATTGTGAGTTATAGCCGACATTTATTGTCCTTTAGATTTGCGATCTTGTATACGTGTGAAAATTTCTTATTCAAATTTGTCGCAGCCATGGTTAATCTTATTGTTCCCACACACAATTAAAATAAAGAAACGCCAAAGGATGACAATCCATTGCATGTTTAGGACGTGTTTAACCAATCACGTTAGTGTACACCTTTGCAACTATTACCAACAATGCTTTATACACTGAAGCTGAGAATTGAAGTGGTATTTAATAGAACTCTTCTAGTCGAATTGTGAAAGATTTTAATTCTGGAAACAGAAAGACTTGCAAACAACTGTTATGTTTAAATTTATGGAAAAATTCAAACATGAAGATAAGCGTTGTGCAAATGAAATTGTAGATATAGATTTGACGAATGCAAATGTTTATTATCATAGAAAACTCGTATAATGATGACTTACCTACGGGTAAGCCAATCCCATATCCCTTTGAATCGAGCAGACCCCCAACCTGCATTAATTCACACTTTCGGGCAGTTACATATTCAATGAAAGTAGCTTCAGCAAAATATGCGTAATTGCCATTTTCAACTTTTATCTCTCCTTCATTACTACTGCCCACAAAGTTATTTGGATCTCCGCTCATCACTGTCCACATTTGCTGATAAGTTGGAAAGACTGAATCCTGTATTATAATGAAAAAGCATAAAGTCAAAGGGGTTAAATGAGTGAACCATTTCCTTCAATTTTCTGATATTTGAATTATGGGTTATAGCGTTTAAAAACTATTCCTTCAAATCAAATTATTCAGGCAGTTTTTGATAATTTATCATGCGAAAGAAATCTTTTATTTGTAATTTCTTTAAAAAATTTATTTCCTTAGGGATCATAGATATATTCTTACGAGGAAGCTCCGAGCATGCTCCAAGCATGCTCGGAGCTTTCTAAGTAGGCTCTATTCAGCAGTTTATGTGACAATAATTATCATGATCAATTAAGATGTCAATCAAATCTATAGCACTTCTATAAAAAGGAAAGTAAAGCATTATAGAGGAAGCTCAATTAACACCTGTGTAAACATCCGGTCTATTCAAATACAACTAGCATGATTTTACAAAACTATAAAATAGATAAGAAATTCTTCAATAGTACTGTGTAATGCCTGGAAAGAAATATCAAAGCCTCCACAAAAAGTAAATGTTTTTAAGATTCAGTGGACTAAAAACTTTATAACAAAAATTTATACTTTGTACTGGAATCCCTTTTGTCTATGCAATACAACTTCTTTTCTCAAATTTTTTTATATATGATATCAACAAGAAAATATTGCGAAGATGTTTTATTGATACTGTTTATGTTTAAAAAATTATACACAGATTAAATGGAATTAATAAGAAATTATCAGCTTTATAATTAAGCTCCAATATAATTTCTAATTAATTATTTTATACACTTTCCTTTTCTTTTTCATAGCTATGAAATAACTTAGAAAAGTGCATTAAAATAATTCAACAGCCTAGACCATTTACCATTACCATGATTCATACTATACTATTAAATGTACAAAGAATAGGAGCATCTTTTTATAAGCTCATTGCTCTTAGCTCCTAATTTTATTTTAAATTCTAGTTCTTCAATACACATTGATTTGTATAAAAAATGTCAACTTATTTTTTAAACTATCTCTTTTAAGCTTAATGAAAATGCAGAAAGTCATAATTACATTTGATACCCTGAATGGTAATTGAAAGTTTCCATTTCATATAATCCTCCCTTTTCTATGTATAAATGTGAACAGAAGAGCGAATCATTTTCAAAGAGAGAAGTCATATGTAATCAATCTATTCTGCTGTCTGCTTAAAATTTAGAATTTTGATTTATTACCCTAATGCTTTAAGTCAATTAAATACCTGTTTAAAACCTACCGTTATTTTATACTATATATTAAAACTACAGTTAAAAATTCATGTAATAATCAGTTTCAAGTTAGGAATAAGGCAATTTAGAAGTTTTAGTGTTTGAAGAGAACAGGCAATTTTCTGGAATAATTTGCAGACTTGACTTATATATGCTAGGTCCCTCACTTACAAATATTTAAAGATGTATAGTAATAGTTCAGTTGGTATGTTTAAAAGAATTTTTGATTCAGCATACTACTGTCATGACTGTAGGAACATGACAATAGGGAGTCACGACTATACCACTTTAGTTTAGGATTTAAATCATAATGTATCTACCATATATCTATTAAATAATCTAATATCTTCAGTTTCTATCTTTTTTTTTTTATATCTGTTTCCCTCTATTAAAATTAGTTTTAATTATTATTGTTGAAGATGTTTTTAAACTGAAAGCATACAGCATTTTAATATTAACAAAATATTTCATATGAAGCATAAAAGAGGATGCTCTAAGATAATTATCCCTACTGAAACTGTAAAATGGGTTATTCCCTCAAACTATAATGTATCATACTGTGATATAAACCTTTCATAATAATGTTTTGCCTCTACACAGATTTTACACAGAATTATTTGACAGGATGCAGACAGACTTTTATCAATATCTACTTTTAATAAAATTGTGTGATAATATTTCTAATACTTGTATAAATTGAATATTAAACAACACAAAACAAGCAAAAAATAATTGTTTCAACTCCAAACAACTGCCACAATGTCCTATACTAACGAACATGATTATGCCTAAAATTCTAACTAACTTTGTTTTATGTTGTTTTTTTTATAATTATACTCATGAGGCTAAAAAAAAAATTAACTAATTTGAATCTTATAGAAAAAAAATTAGAATATATATTTTTATCATCATTTAGGATCTGTTTTATATTGATAGTTTCTACTGATAAAGGCCTACATTAAAAGACTTTTTACATACAGGTGTTAACTGAGCTTCTTCTACATTGCTTTACTTTCCTTTTGATAGAAGTTGTTTAGATATATTAAAAAGTCATTCAAGAAAAAGAAATAGAGGATTGCTGAACTAAAATTCATTTATTATCATATTGTAAAAATTCTTTCAAGGTGTAGTACCACCAAAACATAGTACATCCAGTTTCATGCAAAAAAGGGTTGATTTTTTTTTTTAATATTCCCTTTAATTTAACAATTGTTGGAAATTAACCCTGCAATTCATTGCAGAAAAGTTTTTTTGGGTCGTAAACACGTATCTTGGATGTTTCAAAGCAATGAAAACATTTATTTGGTGTTTCTATAAAATATTTTGGAAATTTAAGGGGACATGGCTACTTAAGCTTGTAAACAGGGAAAAAAGGGGGGAGAGGAATTTGATTGGTGAACTTCTGCTGATGTTTACTATCGTATATGCAATGAAAAGTTATGTTGTATTTTAATTGTAGTACTGGAAAGGATAAAAATTTACTCATGCCAAGTATTTCTTTATTTAAAACGTCAGATAAATTCTGCACAATTTTTTGAAAAATGCCAATTAAACAAAGACTAATTAGGGAAAATCAATTTATGTTAAATTTTCACTGTAGTACTGGACAGGATAAAACTTTACTCATGCCAAGTATTTCTTTATTTAAAACAAAGATATATTCTGCACAATTTAAAAAATGTCAATTAAACAGAGACTTAATAGGGAAAAACAATGGTGGTATTAACCCCCTCAATCCAGCCTTCCAATAATGAATTACAACTTTTCCTAAAGTAGCCATAATTTTCTATAAAAGAACTAAGTTTGCTATTTTATAAAAAAATATATCCATTGTTCAGTTAGGGGCATTACTTAAACAAGTAATTTTCACAATTACCTATACAAGTTATGTTGAAAACAAGGCTATTTTAAATGTTACTTCTATATCAATGTATAAGTAACTTTTGTTAATATTATTTTTATAGGTGTCCATTCATACAGGTTTTACTAGCTTTAACAAATTTTCACAGACATCTGGTTATTTTTCCCATGAAATATAAAACTAATCCTCCTGAAACACTAATTGCCTTTCTGATGCCACGCTTCGGGGTCAAAGATTGGTCTCTTGGGACTATCAAAATATCATTTTCCTTGAAAATCTTAATGGTAGACAGATATAAATAGATGACACCTTGTGATTTAATTAAGACTTGAAGTTATTTATAATTTGTAACCTTAAACAATTACATATGTTCTATGTTCCTTAAATAATTGTAAGTACTAAGTTTTTCAAAGATGTATAAAACATAACTTATAAAAGTAATATTTTTGTCATTATTTCTAAAGTAACATTTTATCTCTATACTTATCTCAAATTTGATAAATTCTTCATTCTACTTAATAAAATGATATAAAAATTCATAAAAACTACATTTAGTCCATGCTTCTCCTGACATTTGAAATAATTATTGAGTTATTAAATAATTTTTAAAAACAAACAATACCTATATATATATAAGTAACTAAAAGAAATAACTTGTTAAAACAGTTATTAAAAAAGAATGATTATTAAATATAATAAGAAAATATTTTAATGACTTTTACTTTTTGTGGAGAGTAGACATTTCTTTCCAAGCACAGTACTATTGAAGAATTTCTTATCTATTTTATAGTTTTGTTAAATCATGCAAGTTGTATTTGAATAGACCGGATGTTTACACAGGTGTAAATTGAGCTTCCTCTATAATGCTTTACTTTCCTTTTTATAGAAGTGCTATCGATTGGATTGACATCTTAATGGATCATGATAATTATAGTCACATAAACTGCTGAATAGAGCCTACTTAAAAAGCTCCGAGCATGCTTGGAGCATGCTCAGAGCTTCCTCATAAGAATAAATCTATGATCCCTTACATTGTTTTATACTTCCCTTGTCTAAAAAATAAACACATGTTCGGTTTCATAAAATGAGTCTTTGAAGAGTAACGTAGACAAAACGAGCATTTGGCGTACTGAATTACTAAAATGGTATCTATTTTGACATTATTCCTTACATTTAACGTTTTTCATTACCCTTTAAAAATATAAAGTGCGTTTTCTGAACCGAACAGGATTTAACAAATATATTTAAAAAAAAACCACAGTGTTTATAAAGAAATATTATTTTGAAAATCCAACAAATAACAAATTATATGTAATTTATCAATTTTCTTTATAGAATATGATTATTACCTATTCTAGACAAAATATTTTGTAGAAGGTATAATACCACCAAATCATAGTACGTCACATCCGGTTGCATACGAAAATGTGTCGAAAAAAAAAAATTCCCTTTTATTTGACAGTTGTAGGAAATTAATCCTACATTTCATTGCAAAAAAAAGGGATGAAAATTTGATTGGTTAACTTCCAGTGATGGTTATTTTCTTATATGCAATGAAATGTTATGTGAAATTTTGTCTATAGTACTGGATAGGATAAAACTTTACTCATGCCAAGTATTTCTTTATTTGAATCAAAGATAAATTCTGCACAATTTTTTGAAAAGTGCAAATTTAACAAAGACTAATAGGGGAAAAACCATGGTGGTATTACACCTAGAAGAGAGACAGTGTTATTTTGTTTAAAGAAACATATATCAATATCAAATTGCAATACCGAAAAGAACTTTTCTGTGCTTCCACTACTTTGAGTTCCATATTTTATAACACTTTGCTTCGCCAGATCCTCAGCGCCTTCTATCGGTGCTACCATTCTTTCTACTGTTAAGAACGCAGCTAAATTGGCAGTGTAAGATGATATTATAATAAGGGTAAAAAACCACCAGCAACATGCCACCAGTCTTGTTGATATCGCTCTAGGTGCGACTTCAGACCCTGCAAGTAGTGTAATATTTGCTTAATATTTATTTGACAAAGTAAATTAATAATCAACTTGTTGACATTTCAAGATAGGATTATGTAAAGGTTCTAATTGCACATACTTGTGTGTCTCTTACAAATGTTTTTGTCCAATGTATGGCCTGCATTGTAGTTTGGGCCCATAATCGACTTTGGCTACTAGACAATGATTAAGATGGTCTTGGGATTTGGCATACAACGCAGGATATTCTTACCCTTCCAGAGCACCTAATACAGCTCCCAGGTTTTGTTCATATCAGTAATCTTATGTTTTCTATACTAGTATCCTTTCCTTGTTTGTCCTTACTTCCATAGTGTTGCTTTTCATTTGATTTAATCATGTATAGTAACCAGGATACCGATGAATAATTTCTTTACGGTGTACTGGTTAACATTCATTAAACCTATATGTTCAATAACATGTAGTTTTTATATAAGAATCGAAACAGTTGAAGAGACATATGACCAAAAAGGATCTAAAAAAATAGGCAAATCTATCTAAGGTCTCGATAACTTTCACGAATATCGTCTTCGCCGTTAAGGACTCTTATGAAACAGTTTAATGAATGATGTAATATTACAGTTGTGGTTTTTTAGATTCAGTCAGTTCATATATTTATCTCAAACTGCAATCCCATCAATGACAATAATTCAATAATTCACCGGTTCAGAATCTAATTCTGTGTAATATTTTCAAAATCGTACACTAAAACGTTGTGATTGGCTGCCAACGTTTTAAACAATCCAAAATCAACCAATGGTGTGACTTCAATTTTGGGATACGAACAATAAAATTACCCATAGTCCTTTAGATTCTGAAAAGGTGAATTGTAAATAATATTGTGAACATATTTCCCGCATTAATTACCACATTACATTAATTTCGGATTTCTAAGCTGAAGCATATAATTGTAATTCATGAATATTTGAAATATGAAGCTGAATACCTTGTTGCATGAGGGCTCCTATGGAAAACCAAAGACTATTTAAGATGGAAAACTGGTTTTCAACAACATCTGTTTCTGGGTTGCAGGGATGTGGATTGCACCATTCGTATGGGGTAAACCTGGCTATCACGAACAACATAAAACTAACACACATAAATGCCGCCAATAAATAAATCCATACATCTGTTGATAATGGGTCTAAAAATGAAAAGAGTTTTGGAGGTGCTGGTTCTGGTTTTTTGAAGAGGATAGATATTCCTGTATTAATGAATGGCTTTGTGAAGTCAATGTATTTTTCTCTATCATATGTAATTGTCATTCCGGCAACTGCAAGATCTGCTTTCTGAAATAGAAATAAAAATGTGTTCTTCATATCCAGAACCCTAATTACATAGAGGTTCTTACATTTTATATTGAAGGTTTTAAATGTGTTCTTTTACTGAATAGATTAAATTTATTTTAAAACAAAGTTCTAATCCTCGTTTGAATTTTCATAACATTCTTTTTCAAAACTTAATAAATAGTTTAATAAATATTTAAACTACAAAGCACATTTAATTGCAAACCAAAAAGGTCAAGTGGCAATATTGCTGAATGTTTTCCCATTGCACAATTCTCTCAAAGTTATACATAAAACAATATTTCATGAAAACGCTTGAAAAGGGAAAGGAAACGAAGAATGTGTCAGAGAGACAACAACCCGATCAAAGAGCAGAAAACAGCCCAAGGCCACCAATGAGTCTTCAACGCAGCGAGAAAATCCCGCACCCGGAGTTGGGCTTCTGCTGGCCCCTAAACAATAATGTATACTAGTTCATCGCAATGGACGCCACACTTAATTACGAAACATACAAACAAACAAACCAAAATAAAAAAAAACAAGACCAACAAAGTCTAGATGGTCCTGACTTGGGACAGACGCATAAATGCGACGGGGTTAAACATGTTTTGTGAGACCTGAACCCTCCCCTATACATCTAGCCAATGTGGAATAAACAAACACATATTAGTATACCTACCCCTTCTACAAGATCTTTCATCATACCATCACATTTCACTTGTTTTGTCTGTCTGTCCTCCTTACAACCACCATAACCATCCGAAGCTTCTATTGTGTAGTTGAATTTCAATTTTTGCTTCAACAACTCAAGAATGTCTATTGCAAATCCCTCATATTTAGGAGCACCTGGCTTTACATCTCCTTCAGGACGCATTACATATGGTGGATCCTAAAAATATGCACAGATTCAAATTCAAAGATTCAAACACTTACACCAGCAACACGACGGGTGCCACATGTGGCGCAGGATCTGGCTACCCTTCGGGAGCACCTGAGATCGTCCCCAGTTTTGATGGGGTTCGCACTGCTCAGTCTTTAGTGTTCTTTGTTGTGTTTTGTGAACTGTTTGTCTTTTGGTCTTTTTCTTTTTTTTTGCCATGGCGTTGTCAGTTTATTTTCGACTTATGAGTTTGAATGACCCTTTTGTATCTCTCAACTCTCTTTTTCATTATCAAATATCCTGCATTTATTTTTCTTAGATTCCTCGATATGTAGGAAATCTAAATATCAAAGTTTTTTTTATTAAAATTGCCATAAGGGATTATAGATTTATTCTTACGAGGAAGCTCCGAGCATGCTTGGAGGATGCTCGGAGCTTTTTAAGTAGGCTCTTCTCAGAGGTTTATGTGACAATAATTATCATGATCCATTAAGATGTCAATCAAATTTTCTCTACTTCTATAATAAGGAAAGTAGAGCATTATAGAGGAAGCTCAAATAACATCTGTGTAAACATCTGGTCTATTAAAATACATTTTGCATGAAATTTTACAAAACTATAAAATAGATTAGAAATTCTTCAACAGTACTGTTTAATGCTTGGAAAGAAATCTCAAGTCTCTGCAAAAAGTAAAAGCCATTTAAATATTTTCTTATTAATATATTTAATAATCATTCCTTTTTTTGTAATAAAAAATTCTCAAATTTTATAATTAGATGATATGATTTAAATACAGTTTATATTATATAATATGCTACACAAAAGTTATCAAGACACAAACAACAGTCAGGGGGATACTAAACAAGTTTTTTTTGTTACTTATATAGGTATTTTAGGTTTTTAAAAATTATTTAATAACTCAATAGTTATTTAAAATTTCAAAAGAAGCATGCATGGACTAAATGTAGTTTTTAAGATTTTTTATACCATTTCATTAAATGAAATTAAAAGTATTTATCCAATTTGAGATGCGTATAGAGAGGTTACTTTAAAAATAATGACAAAAATATTATAAATTATTTTATACATCTTTGAAAAACTTAGTACATGTACTTACAATTATTTAAGGAACATACATGACATATGTAATTGTTTTTGATTAAGATTGCAAATTATGAATAACTTTAAGTCTTAATTAAATCACAAGGTTCCATCTATTTATATCTGTCTATCTCTAAGATTTCAAGGGAAACTGATATTTTAATAGCCCCAAGAGACCAATCTTTGACCAAGAAGTGTGGCATCAGAAAGGCAATTAGTGTTTCAAGAGGATTTAAATGGTTTTATATTTCATGGGGAAAATAACAAGATGTCTGTGAAAATTTGTTTTTAAAAGCTTGTAAAACATGTATGAATGGACACCTAAAAAAAATAATATTAACAGAAGTTACTTATTCGTGATATACATGATATAGAAGAAGTAATATTTGAAACGTCCTCGTTTTCAACATAAAGTGTATAGGTAATTTTGATTTTACTTGTTTAAGTAATGCCCCTAACTAAACAATGGTAATATGTTTTTTTTTATAAAATAGCAAACTTAGTTCTTTTATAGAAAATTATGGCTACTTTAGGAAAAGTTGTAATTCATTATTGGAAGGCTGGTTTGAGGGGGGTACTATCACCATTGTTTTCCCTCTATTACGTCTCTCTTTAATTGGCTTTTTTTTTTTAAATTGTGCAGATTTAGCTTTGTTTTAAATAAAGAAATACTTGGCATGAGTAAAGTCTTATCCTGTCCAGTACTACAGTGAAAATCGAACATAAAATTGTTTTTCCCCTATAAGTCTTTGTCTAATTGGTATCTAATAAAAAATGTGCAGATTTAGCTTTGTTTTAAATAAAGAAATTCTTGACATGAGTAAAGTTTTATCCTGTCTTGTACTACAGTAAAAATACAACATAACTTTTCAGTGCATATAAGAAAGTAAACATCACCTGAAGTTAACCAATAAAATTCTCTCCCCCCCTTTTTCCCTGTTTATTAGCTTTAGTAGCCATGTTCCCATAAATTTCCAAAATATTTTATAGAACACCAAATAGAATTTTTTTATTGCTTTGAAACACATTTCTTTGAAGATACATGTTTCTGCAATGAAATGGAGAGTTTATTTTCCAACAACTGTCAAATTAAATGGAATATAAAAGGAGATCAACCCTTTTTCGCATGAAACTGAATGTACTATATTTTGGTTGTATGGTTATAAATCAATAACCATAGTTGGTGTCTTTGATGACTTTTATATTTCATTCTATAAAGTATAAATTTAAAATATATTTTAAATATAAAATTTGAGTATTTTTTTTTGTATTGAAAACAAATGATAATTATTAAGAAATATCAACAGAAACATTTTCTTTCTGTTAAGACTTGATATTTCTTTCCAAGCATTGTACAGTACTATTGAAGAATTTCTTATCTTTTTTATAGTTTTGTAAGGTTAATGCAAAATTTATTTGAATAGACCAGATGTTTACACAGGTGTTAATTGAGCTTCCTCTATAATGCTCTACTTTACTTGTTATAGAAGTGCTATAGATTTGATTGACATCTTAATGGATCTTGATAATTATTATCACATAAACTGCTGAGAAGAGCCTTCTTAAAAAGCTCCAAGCATCCTCCGAGCATGCTCGGAGCTTCCTCGTAAGAATAAATCTATGATCCCTAAGTGGAAACATTATTACATGTCAATAAACTCTTCATAGTTCATTCAGGTCTCACAATGTCAAAAGGTTTTGCCAAATACATCTATGGTAAACTATTCCTGAGGTAGAAAATCCTTAACATATTAGATATTTCAAAGTTTTGTAAACAGGTATTTCAAAATTGACCATATCAATGATAATTCATGTCAACACAGAAGTGCTGACTACTGGACTGGTGATCAAGTCCTTAAATTTGTGATACCATCTATATATCGAAATGTAAAACGATTATTCGAATTCGAATTATGACAATGTAATCATTCATTCATTAGTATTTTAGTAATGTTTACACAAAATCAGGAAATACCTGCAAGGACAGACCTATTGACATGATTGAGGTATATACTAGTATGTTAGGTGCAGTAAAATAAATTGTTTCTTCTTTTCCTACCTCTTTTGTTGTGATTCTCAACACCTTTTTGCTTAAATCTTTCTCAACTTCTACTTTTCTTTCTTTTTCTGATTTTGTTATATTTACTCCTGGCTTTGGAGCCCATGTACCAATCTGAAATAAGACAAGTAATAACGTGTTATGGTGCTATCAGAAAAGTCTACAAAATCCCATCATTGTCAGAGTGAATAACCAAATTAACTGTTTGCACCCCTCTTAAACCAATGATGCAGTACCCCTTTAGCAGTCAATAGAAAACAAGTTGAACAGGGTTCCCCTAACCCATGTCTAACCCAGCAGGCCTCCAATCATACTGCAGCAAAAACAAAACAGTTTTGGATTACTTACACCACTTTTCAACCAAAAAAATACATTAAAATCCTGGATACAGAAAGGGTGTGAGGGGATTATTAGAGGTTGGGAGGGGTGCTTAAGGGTGGGATGGTTGAACCGGTCAAATAATACTTTTTAGAAATAAATATTTTTGAAAAAATAATGTATTTCACAAACTTTTGAACCTGTATAATAACTATACTGACTAAAACACATTTGGGTTTATTCATCTTATTAAAATAATTCCATAGGATTATACTCTTGTAAAGTTGTAAACCATTCACTTCTTTGGACCCATCAAGTACCCCTTAATATATCCAATGCACATACAAACCACTAGTGCACAACTGGACATGTAAGAGGGTGTCGATGGGGGTTTACAGAATAGAGAATAATGGGCAAAAAATATAAAGAATAGAGATAAATGGACCAAAAAAATAAAGAATAGAGAATAATGAGGTGCTAAAATATAAAGAATAAAGAATAATGGGCAAAAAGTATAAAGAATAGAGAAAAATGGCCTAAAAAATTAAAGAATACAGAAATGAAGGACCCCCATCCAGACCCTCATGTAAGTAAGCCCAACATACATAACCTTAAGTACATCTGACTTACGGTTTATGAGAACTGCCTCGAACATGTTCAGTTGCAAGAAAGGACAAGAATAAGCATTATAATAATAGGAAAAAAAGAATAAACACAATAAGTCTAGTTGGTCTAGTTGGTCTAGTGGTCTATGGCGCTGGCCACAATACGGGCGGTGTTGCCACCATGTCACAGAAGCAATGGTTCGAATCCCGCTGAAGGAAGAACAAAAATTTGTTAACGCAAATTTGCAGATCTTGCATTGTTCATTGTTGAGCTAAATTTGAGACGAATTGTATATATGTATAATATGTTTTATTTGAAATTTGCCGCCTTGTAATTAGAAAGAAAAATGTTTCCAAAGACCGGCAGTTGATTAGAATTATGGATTATCTTAATATTACCTTTTGAAGTCCAGTTCTAGACAGTTCTATAACATCCATGTTAAAATTTCTACGTTCACCATTTTCAAATTGAACCCTTCCAGTCAACCCTTGAAAATCCATCTGCAAATAATAAAAATATAAACTTTATATAAAATTAAGGAGATGTGGTATGATTGCCAATTGGACAACTATCCAAAAGAGATAACAGGACGATGATTGACACAACTATAGTATAGGTTACCGTAGACCTTCAACAATGAGCAAATTAAAGCTATAATGTATCTTAAGTTATAAAAGACCCTGGCAAGATCAATCATAAAAAAAATATGTTACTGGCGTCAGTTCACACATGTATCATTAGTTCAGGTACAGTCAGATAAACAAACAAGACAAACGTTTGTTTCTTCTCAACATACGGACTGTGAATTTTCAAAGCTTTGGTTGTTTCATTCAGGTCTGTCACGTTTTATGTATTCAGATCTCTTTGTTCATCCTGTCATCTGTTCACTCTTATATGGTAACATTAAGGAACAACTCATCTGATGCACCTGAGTTCACCCTCAATTTTTGATGGGATTCGTGTTGCTCAAACTTTTCTGTGTAGTGTTTTTTTATTGCCGTTTTTTTTCGTTTTTTAGCCAATGAGAGGGGGGGGTTCGATGGCCGAGTGGTCTAAGTATTCGAACTACTGTATCACTAGCCTGTCAACACTGAGGTTGTGAGTTCCAATCCCACATGTGGCAGGTGCATTCCACTCAAATCCTAATGGACTAGGATTGTCAATTTTCCTACCGAAGGTCGTGGTTTTCTCTGGGCACTCCGGCTTCCTCCACCAATACAAACTGACTGCCACGAAATAGCACAATAGTGTTGAAAGTGGCGTTAAACAACAATCAATCATTCAACCAATCATCCTTCTGATGCACCTGAGTTCACCTCGATCTTTGATGGGATTCGTGTTGCTCAAACTTTTATATTCTGTGTAGTGTTTTTTTATTGTCGCTTTTTAGTCAATGTGTTGTCTGTGTTTATTGGACTTGTGATTTTTGGTTGCCTACTTGGAATCTTCTCTCTCTTTGCATTTGGAGGTCGTTGTCCTATTTAGAGGTCGTTGTCCTATTTGGAGGTCGTTACCATATTGACGTAAATAATATTTCAACTTTTTAATACTTGTTTTGATATATTGCGTAGTCAGTAATAGTTTCATGATGTTTCTTTCCTGAATTGTCTAGATCATTTGCCTAATTTAATTGTTCTAATGTTTACATCCGTCACTATATCGGTCTTATGCCGAGTAATCCCAATATATATAGATATAAGAAGATGTGGTATGAGTGTCAATGAGACAACTCTCCATCCAAGTCACAATTTGTAAAAGTAAACCATTATAGGTCAAAGTACGGTCTTCAACACGGAGCCTTGGCTCACACCGAACAGCAAGCTATAAAGGGCCCCAAAAATGACTAGTGTAAAACCATTCAAACGGGAAAACCAACGGTCTAATCTATATAAAAAACGAGAAACGAGAAACACTTATGAACCACATCAACAAACGACAACTACTGAACATCAGATTCTTGACTTAGGACAGGTGCAAACAAATGCAGCGGTTTTAAACGTTTTAATAGGTACCAACCTTCACCCTTATCTGAAACAATAGTGTTACATCACAACATAGAAAGACACACTATAAAATATCAATTGAAATGGCTTAACTCAATCAAAAGACATATTAACACAAGTGAACATACACTGAACGAATAAATTTGATCTATGATACAATGTAAATACAAAATAAATAAAATAAGGGGCGAATAAACAAAGGCAACAGTAGTATACCACTGTGAGATGTTAAACAATTTCAGAAAAACAACAACCACCTTGAACAAAAAGCCGCCAAATACAATAATATACACAGGTAAATGAAAATAATTTTGTTGTAAGGTATACAGTTTAAATGGAGAACGGAAATATTTTTTACAAAATAAATAATTTTGTTGTTCATAGTACGAAGAAGTGAAAACTTATAGTCATACCAAACACTTATCAAAGCTGGTATATAGACCAGATATAACCCTGAGTAAGTAAACACTAAATAACAAAAAAGCCTTACAAATAGTATCAACAGGTCAAATTAACAAGAAAGTACGATTTGTACTGACAGCTAGTTAAGAGCCAAAAACAATTAATAATAAAAAATCATGCATCAGAGACTAAAATCAACTAAAACACATCCCAGGGATTTAGTATTTTAACGTCATGGACAGTCAAAGAAGACATGACTTGTGCAATGCCAAAAATAAATGTATCGACAGGCAGTAGGATAGTTAGGAGTTAACCTCTTTATAGAAAAAAATGAACGTGGATGTGTCTACTTTATAAGTAATACGTGGCAAGTAAACATCCGGTGACATCTGGCATTCGTTAGGTACCATGACGGTTTATGGTGGACGGGACTGTGGGTACGACAAATGGAACATGTCTGTGACACAAATATTACGTAAATGTCCAAGTCAAGGTGGCATCGGTAAACGTTTCGAAGAGATGTCTTCAAATTTACCATTCAGAACCATAGGTTCAGTAGCTATGATGTATGCAACAATTTAATAATCCTCTATGGGGGAATTCTTATACAAGCGTTGGAATATCATACAAATTAGGAGCTACACATTGTATATGTAGTTGCTATTAGATGATGTGACAGAAAATGATATATAATTATGGCAAATAATTCGGATCGAATGAATATACTGATGATGATGGATGGCTGCTTAATGTCCAGCAGCAAATTAATATGCATATTCAGGACGAGAACATGTCAGTGTAATATGAATATTTACCCTGCTTTGTACTAGACCGACACGCTGAGCCGGATTTTTAACGTACTAGTTCACCATGTTCACAAGGTAACAGTCCACAGGAAGACATGTCACTTTACCCAGACACATTATTATGATTCCATCCGACCAGTCTTTGCTCTTACTCCTTAATGCTGCGTGTTTAGCAGAGAAGCAGCAAATAACAATTTTAAAGTCTTTGGTTTGACTCGGCCGTGGTTCGAACCCACGACCTCCCGCACTCGAGGCGAACACGCTACCACTGGACAACCGATGCAGTTTAAATGCATATACTAGTATATAACAATTTTGATTAAAATACAGAACAAAGTAAAATGAGAAGTGGTACACAGGTGCAAAATGATCTAAAGAATGATGAGCCGTAACTACAACAAATATGAAAGCATACACCTTCAACACGGCTTCAGTTTATACGGTCTTGATGCAGCACGAGTGACAAAGATTAAAATACTTACAGTTTTCATGTAATTCAATACACTAAGACCGTCCGCCCATGATTTAGATTTTGAACATGATAACTCCTTGTCAGTTGATATCTGTTTAGCCTTGCCCACTTCATCGAGAGCATGAGCTGCCAGAAACACTCCATCATACATTAGGGCTACGTCAGTCTGTAATATAACAATGTGATGAGGCAATGAATACTAAGGAAATATAGTGACCATCTTCATTAGAAGGCATATCTGGATCATTACTTGTTTTGAAGATGAATGTAAAGTTATGAACTTCATAAAGAGTGAAATTTGATGTTTGGAAACAGTTAGAATAACTGATATTGAAACATGTACAGCATACAGATCATACTGAGTCATTAAGTTCCAGTTTAAACTAAACAGGAGTTATTCTTGAAATTCTGTCTTACTTTAAACATTAGGGATTAAGAATAGATCCGTTTAATTGTACTTCTTGTTTACAGTGCAGTGTTATCACATTCTGAAACATATTCTAATTGAAGGCAGTGTTCTATATTTATTTTGTATTTACATTGTGTCATAGGTCAAATTTATTTGTTCAGTGTATGTTCAATGGTGTTAATATGTCCTTTGATTGAGTTAAGCTATTTCAGTTGATATTTTATAGTGTGTCTTTATATGTTGTGATGTTACACTTTTGTTTCAGAAAAAGGGTGAAGGTTTGGTACCATTAAAACGTTTAAACCCGCTGCATTTGTTTGCACCTGTCCTAAGTCAGGAATCTGATGCTCAGTAGTTGTCGTTTGTTGATGTGGTTCATAAGTGTTTCTCGTTTCTCGTTTTTTATATAGATTAGACCGTTGGTTTTTCCGTTTGAATGGTTTTACACTAGTAATTTTTTGGGGCCCTTTTTAGCTTACTGTTCGGTGTGAGCCAAGGCTCCGTGTTGAAGACCGTACTGTCACCTATAATGGTTTACTTTTATAAATTTTGACTTGGATGGAGAGTTGTCTAATAGGCACTCATACCACATCTTCTTATATCTACTAACAATAAATACAGAATCTTATTGAAATAGAAAATATCACAAATAAGTTTGGTGCATCTCAAATGGAAAACCTGAGATCAGTCCAGGTTTTATGTGGGATTCATTTTGCTCAGCCTTAAGTTTTTTTGATATGGTTTTATAGAAGCTTGTTGGTCTATTGGACAAGTTTGTTTTTTTTGCCATAGAGTTGTGAGATATTCTTCCACTTATTAGTTTGAATATCACTTTTGTATCTTTCGCCTCCCTTTTGCATGAGTGAGTTGGAGCCTTAGTTTCTTGATAACTTCTCAATCTTATCCATGGAGAATTAAAAGATAGTTTGTTAAAATTTATATCAGTACAGAAGCACTGACTACTGAGCTGATGAGACTCTCGCACACCAAAAGTCGTCCGCCAGCAGCGGTATCGACCCAGTAAGAAGTAAAAGATAAAACTTTATATGTTTGGTGCGTCAGAAGGGTTTTCCTGGATTTACCCGCCAAAAAAAAAAAAAAAAAATGAGAATTGAAAAAAACAAAAAGATTTTATAGTCTATATGTCTAGTAGTAAGTCAGTTTTTGTTTGTTTGCAATAACAAAAATTCCCAAAGTGTGCTTTGTTGTGGGGGAAGTGGGAATTAACGAAAGTGAATTCAACAACAATGATACAACACATAAACTATACCTCCATTGCGGGTGTAGAGTTATATAAGCTAAGAAAGCTGGACTGTATCCAATAAGCAGCATAAAGATAATAAACAAATGATTCAAATTGGAAACAAAATTAAGCATTATAAATATGAGATTAAACCATACTCTTATATTAGGGCGACAGTATAGTTAACCAATGTGTAATTCTCGTAAATTAATTAGGGAATGCATTTCATTACATTCTGAAAATGGTGAGTTGTATCAAAAAAATATGGATCCAACTGAACACATTCGTAATTTTTTTCAATTTTATTTAATGACATTGATGAGCGTCTAATTTATCCTATGCTTGCGAAAGATAACTTTCAATTTAGAGTACTCTGTGGAACACTGTTTTTAAAAATATATTTACCGGTATCATTCTTTGACCTTGTAAGGGCGATTCTCTGTTATTCAACTCTTCAAACACCCAGTCTTCATTGACAGCTACAACTCCAGGATTTTTAGGATCTACTAATCTGAATGCTGTTATATTTGCTCCACCAAAGGAATACTGGTCTAAATCAAGTAATCCTAAGTCCTGAAAAATGAGATGTAATGTTGCACATGGATTAAGAAAGAAAAGAAAACATTTCCTAAATTTGACAAAGGTTTTTTTAATTTATTTTCTTGCAGTAGCCCCTGCAAAAAGGTTAGACATTATGAGTCTGTGTAGCATACTCTAACAATTAAAGTGCACCATTTTTAAGAGGAAAATAAATGGGTTCATTGTTTCTACTTATCATTTGAATCAAACAGACCAACAGTGTAAATATGGTGCGGACAGCCATTGTGACCCCCAGCTACCTAACCTATAGCAATGTATTTAATAGGACATAATTATATCCTAAACAAGGCGTAAATCAGCGAAAAGCAAGCATTTTAAATATATTTTGTTGCAATAGTACGCACATAGTTTTGCACTATGTTAAACAGTTTTCTGTTTCGTGTGATGGTGCCCTTTTTATTTTATTTTTTTTCAGTTAAAGTTACTCTATTAAAGTCCTTTTGTACAAAATAGCTATAGATTCTGAAACGGCGAATTCTTCAACAAGCCAGATCAATTACTGCTAACTCATCTATGAAAATTTATGCAGCAGAATGTAACTGAAGTGTTTTAACCGTCCTCATTTTCTCTGTAAAATGAAATTGTGTTTAAATAAACTAAATATTTTCTTTTATCTTCAGATTTTTCAAATTGGTTCATTCAGAACAATATGATCATATGCATTTCAGTTTAAAATCCGTATCTAGTAATAATGCCTTTCACTGTATTCACGGTATAGAAAATGCATTGAATTTCTACCCATCCAGTCATGTATAATAGTGAGTGTATTTTTTCAGTTCCTCGACTATATCTAACTTAGAACTATCAAGCGTACATTCTAGTTGGAATGTGTACAATATGCGGTTTTGTTCTTACAAAAATATCGCATTAGAAAGACCTTTATAAGAATTTTCAAAAAAAAAAAAAAAAAGAAGTTAGTACTTGAATATATATAATAAATGAAAATGGGACCATGGGACACAGATGCCCCCGCTTGTAAATATACAGCAAATTCTGCAATTTTTCAATTTACAAAGGAACCTAACTCAAGAAAGGCAAAATTGACGCTACCCAAATTCGAACTTGATCTGTGTTCAGAGGTAATAAACATTGTGTACAAGTTTCATAACATTTGGTTAGAGAACGGAAACTAATTTTGGGACGTACGGACGGACGGACAGACGTATGGAGGGACAAGGATAAAACTTAATACCCCTCCGCCGCGGCGGGGGCATCAAATACTCAGTTAGATAATTTACACTTTACTGAAGAATATGCAATTGAAGACAAATTTAAGAGGATGTAGATGACGGGTCTTTATTTCTGTATTTCATGTTTCATATAATTTTTGAAGCCTTTTTTCTCTATTCTTTATATTTTTTGTCAATCATTATCTGTGTTTGTTCACTCCTTTATTCTCTATTTCTTTTTTGGGTCCATTCTTCTGTAGTATTGGTCGGTTATTCTCTATTTTGTAAACCCCATCCAGACCCTCATATAGGAGAGATCAGTAGAACTTGGATGTCAAATGTTCTTGTTAAATATATATCATATTCTATATAAATTTAACTTACCAATGTTGTAAACATAAAGTGATAGTACTCATTCACAATGCTGACAAGACTAGCCTAAAAATAGAAGAAAATAAAAACACGTAAAAATAAAAAAGTAAATTAGGAAACAAAAACCTAGAAATTTTATCATTTTCAGCTTCATATCGCAAGTGTTTTTATGCTTAATTTGAACTATCTGTTAAGTAAAATGTTTGAACAGACAGTTTGTATCTACAAAGTAAGTAGTTCTAAATAAATTGAACATTCCGCTTCGTCAGTAAGGACCTTTATGTCAGTGTTCCAGAGATTCAACCTGTACGTGAGTCATTGCTCCATGTTGAAGGTCTCACTGACTAACTCAGGGATGAATCACAGCAATAAAAGCTATGTTCTTTGCTTTTGGATAGTCATGTGCGTTTATAGTGATTTTTTGTCTTGTCTTTATACAACATATACTTTTCCCATGACCAACAAAATATAAATTATTCGTGTTGCACAGTAGCTATTTTTATAAAATAACCAATGAGACAACTATCCACCAGAGACTGAAGATAGAGGTTTAAAAAAACTCTATGGTAATGTCATGAATGTACGGTTTCGACAATTGGCTGTCTATCTACAGTTATTTTATTTGATGTTCATCCTTCTTCTTCTTTTAACAATGATGATTTAATTGATTTTCCAATTCAGATGTTTAATCAAAATAACTGTTCAGGTCTCTCTGTTAGCTTCATGTTGAACGCTTAAAACTGTTACTATGAGACAAAAATAACAGTAATTTTAAATGGCCGCTCCTTTGCTTCAGGTTTTGTCAAAAGTCTGTAAGGATCTTGTGTGAACGATAGTGTCCTTCTCTGTTTACTGTTTTACATGTTTTATCTTGATTAGCATATGACTTAATAGATGTCCCATTAAACAAGAAAAGCTTTCTCATATTTTTTTTTACAATTTATATCCATTACTTAAAACACAATGGTAATAATTTCTAACGATTTTATTACATTCTCATGTTGCCTCGAGACTTGCATCAATCTGTGCATATATTATTACCAGGATATAACTAAGAATTATTGAAATTCTTTGTGAAAACGGCTTGAAATGTAATACAATAAAAGCTGTAAAAAGGAATGGTTTAATTCAAATTTATTTTGTTTCGAGGCACCATCATGGAATTAATATGGAATTTAAACTTTAAAGTACATCATGCATCATCTTTTTTTACAAATGGCTTGCTGTGCTTAGACGCATTATAAGAAGCATTCCTATATAGAAATGTTAAAAACATACTAAGTGCTGCTGTTTTGTCTATTAATCTTTCACAAAAACGTCTTAAGCCAAAAGTCGACTATAATTCATGGTCGATTATAAAAAAAAAATACAAAAACAAAACGAGTTTTGACTTACATGAAGATTAGTCAATTTGCACTTGAACATTTGTTCTTGCAGAACATACCAGGTTTAGTGTTGAAGAGGTTATTATTCAAGTGTGTCATTCTATGTGACAGATGGGTAAGATAGTTTATTAACTCGATGAGTACCTTATGAGGGGCCTCGATGGCTGAGTGGTTTAAGTAGTCCAACTACTGTATCACTAGCCTGTGAGTTCGAATCCCGCACGTGGCAGGTGCATTCGACTCCAATAATAATTTACTAGGATTGTTAGTTTTCCTACCGAAGGTCGGTGGGTCTCTCCGTGCACTCCTACGTCCTCTGCCAATAAGAACTGACCGCAACGAAGTAACCAATAGTGCTGATAGTGGCATTAAACACCAATCAACCGATCAACTTACCTTATGAAGAACACCTTCTACTTTAGATGCATCACAGTCTATAATCATTCTTTTCTCTTGTTTATCAATCATTTCTTTAAACATGTATACCCAATTTGTTGGATCATCATCTAGTTTTCGGACTGTTACCTTCACATTTGCACCCTTTGAAAATTTTAGAACCTCTTCTAATCGTATTAACCCTGTTTAAAGAAAACATAGCATTCGTATCTTTGAAAAATGTCCGATATTGTGGTAGACTTAGTTCATGTGAATGTTTTCATGCTTATCCAGCTCGAAATCCATTATTATTAGAATTAGAATTATTTATGCAAAAATATATGTGAAATAATTAATTCACAACTTAGCCGATATATATAGCAAGTAAAACGAGGATGTATGATAGGGGCCAGTATGCAAGGGGTCAAAAGTTGGCCTTATTATACCTTCTCCTTTGAGGTATGACAGGGGAGCATATATAAAAAATTAAACACCATTATGTGCCTTTTATTTAGGAATTGTTATTTTGAAAACTTTTTAGTCTAAACAAAATAAAATTTCTTTGCAAGAAAATTGTTAAAAGGGTTTGTTTTTCGTTTAGTGTTTTGTACATATATCATTGTCTTTTATATCTATGCGGTTTGTGGTTTGCTCGTTGTTGAAGGTTGTATATACGGTGACCTATAGTTGTTTACTTCTACGTCAATTTGTCTCTTACAGAGAGTTGTCTCGTTGGCAATCATACCACATCATCTTATCTTTATATAAGCATGGTTTCTGTTCTAAAAAAACCTTAAACCTGGGACTATTTTACTAACATATTAATCATACTAGCATAAACATATTTTGTGTCTTTTACTTATATATGTACATACGTACCATCGTTATTTTCATATAATATTGTAAATGTATTCCACTGCCAGAATTTGATAAGATCTACATAAGCTTTTCCTAAAACTTCATAATGTGGATATAAACTTAATGAAAAATAGTCTCTATCGACACGTGCATCCCAGTGTGTCTGTATATGTGGAATGGATAATGTATTACATATGGACTGAACATGACCGGACGATATCTGTGATGATGGACCAAATATGGCTGCGACACCGTCTTTTATCATCTTACAAACTGAAAGAAAAAACACAATTGTAAATTTATTAAATTATGTTAACCATTATATTAGTCATACAGTTCCCATTAAATGCAAGTTCATTCTCATGTGATTGTGGCCTTATAATGTAGCACAATACAAGTTTATTCTCATGTGATAATGGCCTAGCTTATGATGTGACACAATACAAGTTCGTTCTCATGTGATAAGGGCTTCATAATATGGCGCAATACAAGTACATTCTCATGTGATTATGGCCATATAATGTTGCACAATACAAGTTGATTCCCCATGTGATTATGACCATATAATGTGGCCCAATACAAGTTTATTCTCATGTGAAAATGGCCTTATAATGTGGCACAATGCAAGTTCATTTTCTTGTGATTATGGCCTTAAAATGTGGTGTTTTCTTCCGTGATGTTGATCCCTAAAATATTGATAAGTCTATGGTGTGAAATAAAAGGGGTTATTTTTCCCTTCGGGTCATTTAACATTGGTCTGTTCCTTCATTATTTATAAGGGTCTGGATGTGGTTTACTTATAGAGAATAATGGGTCAATACCGAAGAAAAATGGCAAAAAAAAAAAATAGAGAAAAATAGCCCAAAAAATAAAGAATAGAGAATAATGGAGATCTAAAATATAACGAATAGATCCACACATGAGCCAACTTTATAAAAGATAGAGAAAACGGCTTCAAAAAAGAAAACAGAATTGAAGGACCCCCAGACCCTCATATGTTTACATAGCTGTTCTTAAATACACCATCATGTTATAAAGATACATAAGCAAAAAATCGCTAACACTTTTTAATATGTAATGCCAAAAAAATCTTGAAAAAACGCATGACAGATTTAATATAAATTCATTTGGTCGTCTCGGCTTCATAATGCTTTTAAAATGGAATTTACGAAGTAATGTGCAATGCATTAAGTTTTACAAGGCTTACTGTGTAGACGCATTATAGAGCGGTGTTCTCTATTACTTGTAACACTAAAACGTAATAATGTCATTAGGAAGACGTAGGATATTGTGTTTCCTAAGAAGGAAGCTTGATGTAATCTTATAGCATATTCAAACTTTCAAAATTACATACTGATTCAAAGAGTGAAAAAAAAAGAAGTAAAACAAACAAAGACAAATCAGCAATTTCTTTTAAAAGTTAATAATAGTTTTTTTCGGTTCATTTGTTTAAATGGACTCGCGATCGGTGGGGCGTCTACGCCAACTAACACATAATTTGCAACACTGGTGACTGAAACCAGATTTTGACTAGCATACTGACTTGCTACAAACCGTTCCTTTTACAACTTCCACGAGTTATATTGCAATTCAATGCAACTGTAGTTGGACGGACAATTTATCTCCCAAAAACAAAATTGGCTTGTTGGAAATCTAAGTATGATGATCAAACTACTTAGGTTTATCTGTTGTTTACATCCATGATGGACGCTGTTAAATAACAAATATACAATACTCAAAACTATTAAATACAGAAATATCTGATTATCTTAAAGCTAATACGTATTGGCCATAGTGTTTTACCGTTAATACTGATAATATCAAATACTATTGACCAGTGAATATTTTCTTCTATGAGCGATATTGTCAATTTACTAGAGTCAATGAAACAAGGCATCATTCCGTTAAGTAACTTATCTATAATTGTTTGTTTTCTGAACAAGATATAATCAACCGCAAAGATTACAAATTTATCGTTTTTCAATTACAGAAATGCGACTTTGTGAACCGCAATCTCCAGAAGTCGACTAAGTAATGAATTATACTACGAAAGAATAACGAAACAGTATGGCTGTGTATGAGTGTCATAAACACAGACTTCTCGCGTGTCTATAACATTATTGCCCCTATTGATTTCCATAAAGAGCTAAAAAGCAATTTCTATGTATAAGAGTCATTTGTCTAGAAGACATCTTCTTCCTGTCAAAGGTTAATGGAAAAGAAAAATATCTTGTAGAATATTTTAGTAAGTAAGTCAGTAAATTGTTCTTAAAGATCAAATTAATAGTTTGTCTTCTCGTGTTTGGTTATTTATGCGGTTATACCTTGGTTACAATGATGGGTTAATGGCATTAAAATAGCGTAATAATTCACGTGAACAGTTTTTCATCAAGGCAAAAATGCAGTATGATGCTGGCGTTCTTATCATAAATGGACAGTCGATTATGAATGATACGAATTATTATAAATTAGAATCTTAAGTGCCAAAGATTACAAAGATGCTGAAGAACTTTATACTGACAAGTTAAATATGTTGTATCTTTGTGAGTGTCTGAATGAGTGTCCTTCAGTTTTTTATACCATTTTTCTCTATTCTTTATTCATTTTGCCTATCATTCTCTATTATTCATATTTTAGCACCCCATTATTCTCTATTTTTTTTTTTTTGCCTATTTTCCTCTATTCTTTAATTTTTTGCACTTTATTCTGCATTTCTTCATTCTGTAAACTCTATACAGACCCTCCTTTGTTTTTGGCTTATCATCTTTAAACATCCATTCCTCAAATAATCACTTGACATAAAATTAATTATCGTTTGAAACTAATTAATTTCAGCTTTTCCAATAACCACTTATCTTCTTCTTAATAATATGACAAAGGTCTTAAGCGTGAAAAAATGCAATGTAATGATAATCATTTATAGAAAGTGAGGGTGTTTTTTTTTTCATTCCGAGTGTGCCACTTGGTGGACCTCCGGGACCCTTAATTATACCAAAAACAAATGAAAATGCTGTTCCAAATTAACATATTTGTTGAAACTAAATATTTTGAACTTTTGATAATGGTTCGGAAAAGCGGATATAGGTCCTGTATAATTATACTAAAATAAACGAATGTGCCAAAGTTAATCTGTGTGTAAAAGGGTCTGCATTTCGAAAAAAAAATAATAATAAAGATTAAGTCATTTTCAAGTTCAAAATATTGGTGGATTAAACCTGGTTTTATAGCTAGATAAACCACTCACTTGTATGACAGCCGCAGAGAATTCCATTATATTGGCAACAATGTGTGAGCAAAAGTGAAGTATTAATACGAGTCAAAACGGGAGATAATTCTTAGCTTAAAGTATTATACCATGGAAGTATTATATTATATAATACTTCCACATGATTATACCAAGTGTAAGTAAGTATCACTGTAACATGTGGAACATCTTCAGTCAGTAAACAAGATACAGTTTTATCGCACAAGCAGATTATTTGCATGTTATAATGATTTTGTCTGTGTTAATTGCTTTTACAAACACACATTGACGTCGATAAAACATTAAGCTACAATTTTCTCGTTTGATGAAGATATAATTTATAAAAAGTATTCAACTCTTGTTATTGTTTATTCGATTTACGTTCCCCAAGGGACATAACTTGTTACTGTTCAGGAGGTAAATTATCATTCGGAAACATAAAATATTGGCAAGTGTATATATATCCTAATAATATTCAGATGTTAAGGTGGCGTGTCTAAGGGCTTTTTGATCTTAATGTAAAGACACTGGAATGTTATTCTGGGGAGATGACTTCTAGTCTTAAAATAAACTGATTTGTTAATCATTCTTTACTTTGCTTGACGTAATGTGTGCTAATGGGTAACAGCATAACTCTGAATACATAGTATCAGAAGAAAAAAACCTATTTGTATTGCACTTTGTCATCGTTCAAATATCCAACAAGTAAGCTGCACATGCGCAGAATATGTATCGTATAGTTCATCTGAGTATAAAATGTGGACAAACTAAACGTCCACAAAAAGTGTGAATAAAATGAGATATCGAGTTTACGGCAATGAGAGGATTACCCAAAAACATTTTCGAACCAAAAGACATTGACATACAGTCTTCAACAGTAAATTAATGAGCAATACATAAAGCCCCAAAAAATTGGGAAAAATCAAACCAAATTCTTCAAAAATATAAAATTATGCACAAAAAGATAAAATCACTAATTATGTCATCTTAAAAGTTTTTAAAAATTTTTAAAATCAATTTTTCGAATGTTTTCCATTAGTTTGTTAGGAGAATAAATGAACGAGATACCTAACAAGTATACGACATATATATATATAGAACAAAATCCCATGAATGGATTGACCATGAAAATGGTTGAATAATATTTCAGTGGATGGGTCATATTTTTTTTCATAGTTTTGTAAGGATAAAGTCTTTACAACTTACAGATAGTGCAATCAATTCTACAAACTTGTGATATTATACTGTTCCAGTGATGTTTGATTTTTAATTTAATGGTCAGAAAATAAAGAATTCGGTTCAAATATTGTTAAAGTTTTACCCCTACAAAATACCGATGTTGAAATGGTACGAGTCATATTGATAGTTAACAAATCTAAACTGACCCGAAGTTCTCTTTGTTCTATACTGGTTAGAAATTTCAAAAGTGACAGAAGTTGAGGATATATACCAATAAAGATATCTGATATAATTGCCAATGAAAAAAAAATCATCCACCAGATGTAGTTGAACACTCAATGGTAAATTCAAGTTCTAATAATTACATGTCTTGTTTCCTCTTTTATAAAATAGGGATGGATATATTGTTGACTGTTTCAATCTTAATTTCATTAATTCAAAATGATTAAAGGTTCATAACCGCTCATTGCATATATTGGAATGCTATTTGTTATTTTACAAGAATTTAATAGGTTCGACACCAAAATGTCTTTAAGAAGGAAGTTATATGTAATCTATCAAAAAACGCAGTAAATTTAATGGATATGCAAGCTTTAATTGAGTTTTAAATTGTATGTTTGTTAAAAAATCATCATTAAGCATGTTGTATTATATTCGAATAGAGAAATAACGACAACTTAAGTGGAAACAATCCTTTGAAATACTCTTAAGAGGTACACGTATGCCAAATATGTTTCTTGCTCTTCATAGCAAATTACCAATTGATATGATTTGCGTAACATATGTTAGTGATTTATATAATTGATGAGTGAATTGTTGTGTTTAACACCACTTTTATCACTCTTAATAAACCGACCGTGCGAGGTCTTTATAGCCGATCAATTGCGTTAAACACTCCCGTAGTAGTAGTTCTAATTGGTGGAGGATGTCGGAGTTTCCGGAGAGAACCCCAACCTTCGGCGGGAAAACTGGCAATTCTAGTCAATGCCACGTGCAACACGACGGGTGCCACATGTGGAGCAGGATCTGCTTACCCTTCCGGAGCACCTGAGATCACCCCCAGTTTTTGGTGGGGTTCATGTTGCTTAGTCTTTAGTTTTCAATGTTGTGTCATCTGTACTATTATTTGTCTGTTTGTCTTTTTATTTTTGGCCATGGCGTTGTCAGTTTGTTTTCGATCTGTGAGTCTGACTGTCCCTCTGGTATCTTTCGTCCCTCTTTTCGAACTCACAACCGCAATGTTGACAGGATTGTGATACTACAGACGAACTGTTCAGACTATTCGTCCACCATGACCTCCTTAGTGGATTATATGTTTATCGTTTAATTCTTGTCTTGAATTTTGCCACAGGGCGTTAACCAAGCGATAATCAATCTAATAATCAAAATATGCCATTCTTCATTGATCATTCAGGGTTAAGCAGTACTTGCGAGAATTCTTATACATATGATCAAGACAATGATAACGAACAATACCATATTAACAACTATAATTAAGTCTTGATAACCTATCACAAAAAATACATTACAATCTGGTTCTCTAACCATGAAGTCTTATCACATTTGCAATCTTGTTACAAATAACATTAAGCGGTATCGCTGTTTATTTTTGTTGTATTTTATCGCTTGACAACATTGAGTTCTATGGTATATAAGTTAAGTTTTTCGCGTTTTTTTTTTTACGTTGGTCGATTTAAAGATTGACGTATTTTTATGAAGTCTATCGATTGTTCGAGACCGTATGCTAACCTCAATAGATATCTCTTGGTTTTGTTTGGGTTTCTGTTTCATTGATGTACACCCCACATCTTCATTTTTAGCCGCCAAACATTAATGCTGTAATAACAAGAATCGCTGGACATCTGGCAATAAAGTATTGTATGCAAAGGTCATGTTGTATTTAAAACACGTGCAGTCACATGCTTTGAGTGGTGATTTGTATACGTGGTTCAATCTGCAATCTATATATGCACCAAAGACAAAACAATGCCAATTGTATATTTCAGCGACATATTATACCAAAACTAACGCTTGAAAACTTTCTTACACGTAATTGATCTGACTTGCAATGCTATAAATTGAAACATGGAAGTCTTTGTCTAATACTGAAAATGCTGAATATGCTTTCAGCTGTCTTAAAGCTTTAACTTGAAACATTACCAACTGGCTTTGTTTGCTGTGAGAAAAAAACTTATAATCATATTACTTTCTTCCATTTGAATGACAATGTCACTATACATTTGAGTAGGAATATTTTACTTTATGGTCTACTGGGAAGGGAATTCTGCTTTCAAAATAATTGATTGGTATAATTCATTCATAAAAGAACTATGCACAAATAACTTGCTTTAATTGTGAAGAAGATGATGGCAATTATTTTTCTTTCGTTTGAATTCTCCATTTATTATCTTTATAGATGTAGTTGGTATTTTATAAGCACGTTATAATGACGTCTGACATTACTTAATATTAATTCATGTTTTCGAAGAGTTTGGACTCAACAACAGATATATACAATTTGTTTAAGAAAGAATACTAGAATTCTGGGACTTTTGGGAATATACGTTCTTCAAAACATAGCATGATACAAAGCATGAAGTATTTCTTATTCATTTGAAGACAATCCCAGGATTTAATTGAAGACTGCGTAAAACTGAGCTAGACACTATTGACACAACACAAGCACGTCTGATATTTTCTTACTTATATGCCTCTCATGCACTCGGCACTTGAGGAAGGTTAAACTATTTAATAGACAACATGATTTAAGTTTTCCGAGAGCGAATTGCTCATCTGTAAGAAGCAGTATACCTGCTTTTCTTGCGTTTATATGTTACACTTTCTACTTTATTAGGAGTGTCAACTACAGTGCCTTCCTTGAACACGATCCGGTAGTGTTAGCAGTAAAAAGTTTCTGCTCCACAAGTGGCAAACGTAAAATATATACATAGTATTCATGTACAATGTATACTGTGCAAAATGGAAATATTTAAACTCCCAATGTTCTTAATCGTCAATATTTTCTGAATCTCGTCTTCTACAATATATATACGGGAAATATAAACATATATAAATAATACCTTTTTTCGATGCCTCGAAACTATCATCTTGACCTACTGGTGCAATGTTATAAATGAGCAATGATTTTCCTAAAACATCCCCTCTTAAATTTATCTTCTCCGTCGTATGGCGGAAGGCTATCTCAACACCCTTATTTCTGTCTTCAAATAACCCACCTGAAATTTAAAATACATTAAAATAAACAGATGCGTAGATATATAAATTTTCAAATTAATTTCTTTCATATGAAAATATATAGATACTGGGACAAATAAGTTTAGAGAAAAAGAGATAGAGAGAAAATAAACAACCGGAAGTCGAATTGATATATCTGGAAATTTATAAAGTATATATGCATTTTTTTGTATGTCACCTTTAACAGAATAATAATAACGGAAGCCACTTAAAATTTGAGATTTTATCATTTATTTACATTGATATAAGAAACGTATACGCAATAAAGTATAAGTAAAGATTTGAGCAAAGTTTTCAACATTTCATAAAAAATATTATATTTCACCACTGGGAGCACTGTATCAAGTGGCATTGTCTGTAAGATACTAATGCGACAGAAATTTATATTCAGCTTAGAAAAAAATTGAACATTAAAGTCACTGTGGTCAAGGCCAATGAAAGGGGTATTTTACCATCGTTTGGACGAGTGCAAAAAATGGTATCTGTATTTCGAAATATTTCGGGCGTAATTACATACATGTATATGTATTTCTATATAATATATAGAATAAAGAGATTAATTATAATTGATAATGAAACAAGTATCCACCTGAGTCTAAATGACGTGGGTTTAAGCACTAATAGGTACATGTACGGCCTTCAACAATGAGCAAAACCCATACCGTAAAGTCAGATATAAATGGCCCCGACATGACAAATCAGAAACAATGCAAACGAAAAACCCAACGACCTGATTTATGATAGTTATCACAAAACATAGGGCGAAACATTATACGGACCTTTTAATTACAAAATCATAGATGTTAAAGATTTATAAATACGTGTTAAAATGTATATATCTGTTTTAAGATCTAGATTAAAATCTCAGGCAATGCCCTTCCTTTTTTAATTAAATCTGAGTAGTTTTATTTTGATTTAAAAGCAGTGGGTAGATTACTTAAGATCACGCTGTCAGCACAACTGATACGTTGCATGTTATGCATATATGTTCCTTAAGTTTATATATATACATGGCTAATTAGATACACTATTGAAATACACCTGATAAAGCAAAAGAAAGTATCATTCACAACATGCTTAAGTCAAATGTCGTCTGCGATTATTATCTAATTCGAATCTAAATTTATATTGATTAGTCATTGTTACATTTGGTTGATACATTCACCAATACCTTCCGTTATCTAGATGATATTTTTTCGTTAAATAATCCAGAGTTCTCTAAATATACTACCGAAATTTACCCAAAAAAACTTACTGTAACTAAATCTAACATAAACAGCAGTAGTTGTCCTTTTCTAGATTTGGACATTTCAATCTCTAAAGGAAAACTCCATACTTAAATTTACGACAAAAGAGACGACTTTTCATTCCCTATTGTTAATTTTCCTTTATTTGACGGCGATGTTCCTTTGGCTCCATCATACGGTGTTTATATATCCCAACTCGTTCGTTATGTCCGTGTGTGTAGTGATGTCATAGATTTTAACGAACATAATCAATGCATCACTGGTAAATTATTAAGTCAGGGATTTCGTTACAATAAATTACGTAAAACTTTTACTAAATTCTTTCATAGATACAAAGATTTGATTAGTAAATTTGGCTGTACCTGTAGAAAACTGATTAAAAACAGTATTTCACATCCTAAATTTTACGGTAATATTGTACTTAAAGCGCGGAAATCACTATGTGATCCGTGTAAACTCATCGAACCTTTAAACAAACTTATATTAGTAAAGGTTATCTTACCAATGTTGTAATTAGATCTTTGATTATAGTTTACATTGGCACTAATATCGATTTTGTCATCAGCAAATTAAAACATAACTAAATTTGTATTCTTTTCAAACGGGATGTATAAAGACACACCCACGTTCATTTTGATCTATAAAGAGGTTAACTTCTAACTATCCTACTACCTGTCGATACATTTATTTTTGGCATTGCACAAGTCATGTCTTCTTTGACTGTCCATGACGTTAAAATACTAAATCCCTGGGATGCGTTTTAGTTGATTTTAGTCTCTGATGCATGATTTTTTATTATTAATTGTTTTTGACTTTTAACTAGCTGTCAGTAACTGCGAGTACTCTCAAATCGCACTTTCTTGTTTATTTGACCTGTTGATACTAATTGTAATGCTTTTCTGTTATTTAATGTTATTCAGGGTTATATCTGGTCTATATACCAGCTTTGATAAGTGTTTGGTATTAATATAAATTTTCACTTTTTCGTACTATGAACATCAAAATTATTTATTTTGTAAAAATATTTCCTTTCTCTATTTGAACTGTACACGTATACCTAACAACGAAATTATTTTCATTTACCTGTGTTTAAATAATTGCAAATGGCTGATATTTTTTGTTCTAGCATATTGTTTTTCTTATATTGTTTATCATTTCACAGCGGTATAACATGTTACTTTTATTATTCTTCCCTTAGTTTATTTATTTTGTATTTACATTGTATCATAGATCAAATTTATTTGTTCATTGTATGTTCACTGGTGTTAATATGTTGAGCCATTGCAATGGATATTTTATAGTGTGTCTTTCTATGTTGTGATGTTACACTATTGTTTCAGATAAGGGTGAAGGTTTGGTACCATTAAAACGTTTAAACCCGTTGCATTTGTTTGCACCTGTCCTAAGTCAGGAATCTGATGTTCAGTAGTTGTCGTTTGTTGATGTGGTTCATAAGTGTTTCTCGTTTCTCGTTTTTTTATATAGATTGGACCGTTGGTTTTCCCGTTTGAATTGTTTTACACTAGTAATTTTAGGGCCTTTATAGCTTGCTGTTCGGTGTGAACCAAGGCTCCGTGTTGAAGACCGTACTTTGACCTATAATGGTTTACTTTTATAAATTTTGACTTGGATGGAGAGTTGTCTCATTAGCACTCATACCACATCTTCTTATATCTATAGGCATGTCTAAAAGTCTTTCGCTGCAAAATGCATACTGGCAACCTTTCACTGAATACATCAAAAAAGAAGGTGTGGTACAATTTCCAATGAGACAAATACCCATCAGAGTTCAAATGGCATGGATGTTAGCTGTTGAATATACGGCCTCCAATAATGAGAAAACCATACCGTACATTGAACAAAATATGAAACAATTCAAACGAGAAAACCAACGGCCTGATTAATGACAAAACATTAAAAAAAAAACAAATATGACAGACAGAAAACAGTGACAATGATAACTGTGACTATAGAAATGGTGTAATTTGCCCTTTTCTGTGAGATGTGCCGAATGTACTCCCCAAAAAGAGGGATATTAAAGTCCATGTCTATTTGTTTTATCACTATATCAAAGCGTTTCTCTTGACCTTGTTTATTAGTGACAATTTTAAAATACTCTGTGGTGTCATGGAAGTATTATATTGTCAATATAATACTTCCATGGTGGTATTAAGATATATAATATCGTACATTTATTAACAACTTTCGCACACACATCAAGCGATTAAACCATACACTCTCTTGAGACCGGACGGACGATCTCAGGGAATCCCTGTGTCACGCTCTTTTTGTTAGAGTTGAAACGAAGAATTTATGTGAGCGTATACTAAAAATTCCTTGTTTCAATGAAAATGTACAGATTATTCTACCAGAAAATTCGTTATAAAGATTGTTGTTGTTGTTGTTTGTTTGTTTTGTTCATGAGTGTGTTGGTTTTAATTAGTTTTGCCACTAATTTAATTTTTGTCTCGCCTTAACGTAGTCAAAAATCGAGACTTAGGTACATGTATGCTGATTCCGGTGTCGGCGGCTTCGTCAAAAATGTATTAGTTTGTGATTATGTCAGATCATGGAGAACCACTAGCGGTAGGTCAATGATATTTGGTATGCAGTTGTATTAGCGATGGCACATCTCATTTCCATGGAGATTATTTGGCCCCAACCCTTCCGTCATGGTCTATTACATGTAACATTGAAACTTTTGCTTACTTTACATGTATTAGTTTGTAATTAGGTCAGTTAATGGTGAAGCAACAGTGGTTGGCCAATGATATCTGGTATGCAGTTGTATTATCATTGGCACATCTCATTTCCATGGAGATTATTTGGCCCGGCCCCTTAGTCATGGTCTACTATCTTTGAAACTTTTGCTTACTTACATGTATTAGTTAGTGATTATGTCAGTTCAAAGGGGACCACTAGTGGTAGGTCAATACTCTCTGGTATGCAGTTGTATAAGAATTTGCAAGTCTCTTTGCCACGGAGATTATATGGCCCCAACCCCTCATCATGGATAATTGACTAAAACTTAAACATTGTTTACAAGTTAAAGTTTGTGTTTAGGTTCATGTAAAGTGAACCACTTATGATAAGTCAATGGTATTTGGTATGCAGTTTTATAAGCATTGGCCGTTGTCATTTCTATGGTTATTTGGTCCTACACCTTTAAGTCATGGTTCATTGACTTTGAATTTATTGCATAGTTTACATGTTAAAATATTGCCATTTGAATTCACTATTTGCAAAATACTATCAAAATTACAAAAAGGCGAGACATACATGTATCTCTGTGTCAACAGTTTATATAACTCATCAAGTTATTAGGTCTTTCCTCTTTTCTGTGGAAAGACCTATTGTATTTGTTCTGATTATTATTATTTTCTTCCGCCTAATTTTGTTCTCGCGTAACATTTTTGTTTCGCAATATGTCGCTAAGATATTTCTTATATAGTATCATATAGTTTATGCGCTTTTTATTTTCACCCAAGCTAAGCCGAACAATTTTCTTTGTAAGAGTTATCTCCCCGAACACTGTTTTCCTTGTGACTACATCTCCTCCATAACCGTAAAAGAAAGCGACAAATTTATTTTATAAGATTGCTCGTTATATCCTTCGCATGATTTGTCCTATTTTGAACGAAGCAATATGAATGCTCCATATGAGAGTTATTTCCCCTTATGCATTTGATATAAGTGATATGCATTTCTATCTTGTAAACCATAAGTGATAGAGA